CCATACCTGAGATGCTGTTTCCTGTTGCTGCCCCGACAAGTTTGGCCCAGAAGTGCTGGAAGTGCTGAATAACGCTCAACTGCCTGGCTTTTAATATTCAAGCAGCTTAATGTGGAGGGAAAAGATTTTGCGTTTCTGTGGGATTTGCCAGCAAAAAAAAATATATACTTTGAACTTAATATAGTGGTGTTTTCCAATCCAGTTGTCACGACATACAGGATGGATGACTGGAGGACTGGCATTTGCGAAACAGAAGGGGCTTTATTGAACCTAAACAAATAGGGACAGGAAATGAACAAGATCGCGAGGGATCAGAACGGGAGGCCAGAACAGGGAAGGACACAGGCTAACAGGAGGAGCGACGTTAAATTAAAACAGCCTACCATTAAAACAGATACCGAAATACATAGATTAATACAAGGCAACAAGCAACAGGTGAGGTCCCTCAGGGACACGTGAGGGAGAAGACAGGCTTAAGCAGAGGTGACGGGCAGGACGTGACACCAATCCTTGGGGACCCCCAGACAGTCCTCATTTTTGCTCCCTCCCCGCTCCCAACACACCTGCACAAGGTATTCTACGTTCTTGATTGTTTCGTTCATGTGTGAGGGAGCGAAAATGTGGACTGACTGGGAGTCCCTGAGGACTTGGTGGAGAAACAATGTAACACACCTATGTGTGCAATCTCTTTCATAGCATCCGCACACATATTTTTTGGAGAACTTGCTCCAAACATGAGCGAATTATGGGTAAACTCAGGTGCTGTTTATAGGGGATGGAGTCAAGTTACAGACAGGGACATTTCAGGCTTGTTTGACAGCCCTCATCCAAACATCTGCAAACATGCAGGGATTGCACAGCACATTCAATGGGGTCTGCCCCCGGGGGCTGGGAATGGAGGTTCTGCTGCCTGTATGTGGTGGAGAAGCGCAGATGGCTGTTTAATCTCCTGCCAGCTCCTCCACTCTGCTCCTCACCAACGCACCTGGTGGTCTGTACAGAGCAGTTCCGGAAATGGCCACTAGTGTATGCTGTTGTTGAAAGATGCTTCTTTTCATATGAATACTGGGAGCAAAACTCAACAAAAGCATTATAGTCTTTAGTTTCTGTATTTACTGATAAACCCGATGACCATCTCAAATTTTACAGTTCTTTTGCATTCACAGATTCTATAAAAAGGATCTCCGGCCATTCGTCTTTAACTATTGTGGCACATACTTCGACAGAATTAAAGATTCTTAATGAATCCTGGGCTTTTTGGTCCTTAACGAAGGTGCAGAACCAGGTGATAGACAAAGGCCAAAGAGAAAGTGAGCATCTTGAGTCATCAGGACAAAGAGACTTCTATCAAATGTTATGGTGCCAGATGATAAAGAGAAAAATAAAGTGTGGAGACAGACTGTAATGTCTGCTAGCACAGATTACAGTCTCATTAAGTGGAGCTGTTGAAGGCTGAGGTGTGAGGGCTCTAGGTGTACAGTACACTCCTGGACAACAAAATGGGCCAATGCTTAATGTTTTTTGACCGTGAGTGTTGTGGTCTGTTGAGGGCTGTGTTACATTTGCTCGCCATGTTACGCCTCCTGGGAATTTTGCAACTACAGTGATTATGTGCCTTTGGACCAAGGTTGTCACACATCTTGAGGTGCTGCAGGGTGGGGGAGTATTTTGCTCTTGGGGTGTCTGATAAGTGGCCCCAAGCTTTGCACTCGACTGTGTGTGCGTGTCTGTGTATGAAAATGGGAAATGAAGCATTGTTTTGTTTCTCTTACAATCCTTCAGTTTCCTCAGCAAAATCCTACATTGTCTTGAGCCCCAGCCCCCTCCCCACCCAGCACCACCAGCAGCCCAGCTGGATGGGGCCCAGAGGGCAGCGCCGTGCCCAGCGCGGGAGCCGTGGAGGGAGGCTTGGCTCGAGGTGACAGGTACTCTTCACCCAGCCAAGCGGGGGCCATTTCCCAGCACACCAGCCTCCTGCTGCTAGAGAATTTGTCATCCTGTTGGGGTCCTTGTCTGTGCCGCCAGCCACGGGGCCCCGATGAGATGCGGGAAACTCGATTAGGCCCCAGGATGGATGAGACAGTGGCAGGGGCACAGTAGGACCCAGCGCACCAGCCCCCACCACCCCCCCCGGCAAATCTCTGCTAATCAGAAGTGAGTCAGGCCATTTAACATTTTATTTACGGTGATGAAAGCATCTTCAGCATTAACTGTCAAACCCGCCAGCACCAGCAGGTCCATGTTTGGCCAGTGGGAGGCGCTCTCCATCACCACTCTGACCCGATGAAATTCCCCTCCTGTCTTTTTTGGAGAGACATGAAATCACGCCCGAAAACAATGACTTCCCTATGCTTAATTAGCAAAAAATAAATAAATGCAACCTGACTCCAGCATGGCCTATGAAGAGGGAGATCATGTGACTGTAGTACCTGGACAACTGGGTCTGTTCAGATGCAAATGAGTGGCACGATCCAGTCTGTAACTTACCTCTTTGGCTCATTGTCTTGGGTGACGCATTTGATGCCATGTGTCAATGATGCAGTTTTGCCAATGATGTTACATCATAGATGCTAACAGATTGTTTCCCAGCATCCGTGAACATACTGAACCCCCCCCCCCCCACGACCACCTCTGTACATTTTTTCCGACTCCCCCCACCCATTCTTTTTCCCATCAGCCACTGTTCTGCCAAGTCAGTGAAGTATGAAGGTTGTTTGCTGGGTGGTATTTGGTCTGTCTTTGTAAACTTCTCAACCCTAAAAATGTTTAACAAAGAAGCCGCGGGCCCATCGCTGTAACAGCTGTAGGGGTTTTAACTGGGCGTGTGATCGTTCAAACGGCCGCAAATAATCGCTCTGACGTATAACGATAATTAGCGTTTTGCTGACGTTCGCTGGTGATATTGCGTGCAGCTCTTATAGCGGTAGATGACATTTCGTGTTTTATGGCTTTATGTTCGCAATGTTTTTTCCTTTTACGAAATCCGGCCTTTGTTGTTTAATTTATACGATTATAGTCATTTACTTTTACTACTTATAAAGATAGCAGCTGACGTCGCATAACTTTATATGTACAGCTTTATGGTTTGAGTAGACTGAGTACTCTTGAAAACACGGAATAACAGAAAACATAATGTGTGCAAACAGGGAACTGTCACATTTATGAAAATGAGTGTTTTCTCATGGCTTACCTCAACAGTGCTGTGATGGATCGCAGTTTAATTTAAGATCGTATTGGCAAATATATATTGGTTTTATAGCTCATATTGATGGCTGCTTTATAATGCTAGTTATGCAAAACAAATGCGTACGAAAATAGGACTATTCTATGCATGCTGTAAATAATACTACATTTACTAATTTTACTAAAGCAGGATTATGTAAACAGTTATAATGCCAGTTAGGCATGACTTGTAGTTTGCCACTGTTAAGTCTGTTTATACTGAATGACACATCTAATCAACTCAGTTTTATATATTGTAACAACTTATTTTCAGCTCAAATCGCAATCTGGTAATCAAATCTGGTAAGAAGCTAGCCCCATCTATTGGAAAGTTGTAAAACTGCATGCGGAAAAATACTTTCAAAATGATGTTGCCAGGATGCTTACATCTGTTGCTGAAGTAGTTAAAATTTAAAATTACTCTTTGGCATGATACATTTTGGTTTGCTCATGCGGTTATGTGCTCTGCCAATATTAACTCCAAATATTGATTTTGAATAATGTGCCTCTTTTGCATAATGGCATTATTCATATTTCCAATAATATGTGATGACAGTCCACCAAACCGGTGTAGTGGAAATTATTGGTGGCCGTTGCCAAACACCTGTGAGGAGTTACTATCCAAGAAAGGTCTAACGGAGGCATTAAAGCGGGTTGCTGACAGACGTGTCTCCACAGTCTCCAAAGGCCAGGGTACGACCCGGTCCGACCCGGTCCGCTCCTCCGCGATGTTTGTTGCCAGCTGACAGACATTAACACTGGAAAACTGAAGTAAAAGTCACATGAACAAAGATCCTGATGAAGATTTGATAAGCAAACTTGGAAGCATGAATGAGACACAGCCATTAGAGGATTCATTGAGTTACTGGTTTTACTGGTTGCGACCAGAGATATATATTATAACATAAAGTTACTCAAAATCTATTTATACCTCTATCTCAGTTATATTTTTCATATTTCGTGTTCAGAGTTTCATACTTTGTATTTATTTAGTCCAAATATTAAAACTGTGACATACAGAAGAGGATTAGGGCCACCATGAAAATATTATTTGAATTCTGACTTTAATCTCAGAATTCTGAGTTTAGGAAAAAAAGTCAGAATTCTGAGATTAAAGTCAGAATTCTGAGATTAAAGTCAGAATTCTGGCATTAAAGTCAGAATTCTGAGATTAAAGTCAGAATTCTGAGAAAAAAGTCAGAATTCTGACATTCTAATAATATTTTCATGGTGGCCCTAATCCTCTTCCGTAGTGACATGCTAAGGAAATAACACAATGATTTGTTTGTTGAAAAATCTTGATTGATTTTATTGGAACATTATTTAATTTTGTAAGACTTACACTGATGCTACAGGATACCTTACTCAAGTGCTTCAGGTCTTCTTCCCCAAGGCTGCAACAACACTTTCCCATCTCAAGAGTTCAATGTGAATGTTTTGTTCACAGGTCTATCTTACTCATATGTTCAGTGAGGGAGCGAAGATGTTAAAAGGACGCAGGTTAAAAGTTAAGAATGATGGTGGCATTGTTGCATTGGGTGGAGTCTGACCACTTCTGTTCATCGGCAAAGGTCAGCCTCCTGCCATCTTCATCGGAAAACTGAACTTCTAACTTGACCGCCGGACACCGCGGCACCGTGCACCGTATGGAGACCTTTCCGTTCATTTCATGAAGGGAGCAGCTCTTCGTTCTGTGCCTCTTGTCTCCTGTAGACACAGGATAATTGTTTACTGCGCTCTCAGCACACACCAGGTCCTCCCGGCTCAGGAAGACCAGGCCACGGCCTTTCAAAGGCTTCGGCTTCGCGCAGTAAATCTTCTCCACGTCCGACATCAGCAAATTGGCATCAGTCAGCCAATCGTGGAAATCGCGCATGTGGCAGTCGCATTTCCAGGGGTTGCCTTGCAAGCGTACTGTGCGAAGGGAAATTAAGGGTATGAACAATCCCTCAGGGAGGCCCTGCAGGTCGTTGTCAGAGAGGTAGAGCTTCTCCATTATTTCCTGATCATCAAACAGATCTGCCTCCACACTGCTAATGTTGTTTTTGTCTAGGTGAATGCTTATCAGATTAGAGAGTCCAGTGAAAGCCGCTGCTGGCAGAGCTAGGAGATGATTCGCAGACAGGCTGAGGTGCTGCAAGCTTGTTAGGTTTCTAAACACATCTTCTGGAATAGTGGAGAGCCGATTTTTGGCCAGAACCAAGTCAGTGAGGAATGACATGTGTTGGAAAACTCCAGTGGAGAGTTCGACAAGCCGGTTGTCCTCTAGATTCAGCTCTTTCAGGTTTGGTGGGAATGTCCCCGGCGCTATTTTGGTAATAAGATTCCCCCGGAGATGCAGCTTGTTTAGATGTTCCAGCCCTGATAGGAGGTTCAGATGAAGATCTTCAATTCTGTTCCCCTGCAGTCCAAGTTCTCTTAGATGAGGCATGTTGATGAATGTGTCTGGGTGGAGAACACTTATGAGGTTGTGGTTCATTCTGAGTGTCTCTAGCATAAGGAGGCTATTAAAAATATCTTTATCCAGTGTTAAAATCTTGTTTTCGGAAAAGTCTAAGGAACGGAGCCAGCGGAGGTGGCGGAATAACAGCCTAGGGAGGTGATCGATGGCATTGCCCTTTAGTTGCAAGATTTCCAGCTTCTGTAGTGAAGCAAATATGCTGTCATCCAGGGTCTTGAGCTGGTTGTAGTTGAGTAGCAGCTTGGTAAGATTGCCCACCCTTTTGAATGTTCCTGTGCCAAGGACCTTGAAGTTATGGTTGCCGCTGATTTCCAATTCTTTCAGCTCCAGCAATCGGTTGAAGGCCATCTCAGAGACACCATTGAGGAGATTGTTAAGGAGCATCAACTTCGTGAGGCTGGAGTTTAGTGGGAAGGATTCTAGGTGGATGCTTTTAATGCTTGTCGTCATGATTACCAACTCCTGGACCTCAGAGGATAAGTTTTGAGGCATGTCCTTGAGAACATCTTCTGAGCAGAAGACTTTTGATGGAGTGAAGCACTGACAGCCTTTTGGACAACAATCAACATGGTAGCAGAGTTGGAGGAGCAGAAATACAGAAATTCCAAATGCCCTGGTCATTTTTTTTCATCTACAAAACACAACATAAAAGTTACGAGTGATTGCAGGTTCTCTCAAACATGAAAAACATCATGTTTTTCCATCATGTTTCTCAAGTCAAGTGTCAGTTACCTGTGGCCTGTACTAAAAAGCAGGGTTACTGGCTTATCGGGGTAACTTGTCGAATTTAAGGTAGTCTGGGCAAAATGTAAGTGAATGAATATGAAGTCCATTTAAACCGTGGTACCTTAAATCCGACAAGTTACCCCGATAAGCCAGTAACCCTGCTTCGTAGTACAGGCCACAGGAGTACACTTCATCTAATCTCCTAATCATACTCACGAAAGAACCAAGATATCTTGCATATGCCTTTATGAATGTATATGTTTGAATGTCTTTCATTTAAACACAGAGGAAAGACAATTTGATAGCAATAATCAAAATAAGATAGAATTGCCAAGCAGTTCTGAGAAAAGCACTGATTTTAATAGCTTTCAACATACAGCACATTTTAAACACTGGAATCTGAAGAGTGTAGGTTTCACTAAACTTCAAAATTCAACAGGAAGTCTTACCTGAATGCTATAGCCCCTTCAATGAAAAGTGACATAATATTTTAATGTACTTTGACTGAACCAGAGTAACTGTTAATGCAGTCTGCAATCCAGCAACACCCAGAACTTTGGGAACGGTCACAATTCCGCTCACCAATGAACTTGAGGGATGTGTCACATTGGCAAACACTGGGAGGTCGTGTTTAAATAGCTATTATTTGCTACAAATATGTGAATGCATTTTTATGTCTTTGGGATCAGTCTTATTAGTAACAGAAGTGCCCAAAATACTGTATTTTGTTAATAAGCTGAAATATTTGTTTTTGTGTGTTTCCTCTGAAAAGAAATAAAAGGAGGGCGTTTACATTTGTGGAGAAAAAGTAGTGATAAAAATGTAAATACTGACTGTTAACCTGAACTTTGTACTCCACCTATGCCGGAGGGAACACCACTCAATATCTGTCTACAGCTCCTGTTGGTCTATTGAAACTGAAGTTTTCTTTGCTACATGAAACATTTGTGTTTACTTCATTTGTATTGGTTGATGCAATAAAATAACCAGTGTAGTAAAATGAAAAATTAGCAATGTAGTATTTAAATGCTTTTAGTTACATTTTTTTCTCACAAAAAACTAGACTAAAAACACAAACAAAAATCAAATATCCATTGATACAAAAAGCACAATTATTTAAACAACATAAGACAAAATATCACCAAATGAAGGTATGGAAACTATAACCTAATGAAAAAGTTTAGCTACTTCTTCACCATGTTGTGTTTAACATTGACAAATAAAATGCTGATAACAATGTTTTAAATCCAAATTCCAGAATTTAGGCAAATGAAGTAGCCTAGCTACTCCAAAACAAACCAGCGCAGTCGTGGCTGGACTGGCCATCCGCTGTACTGACATTTTCATGATGAGTCTGTGGGCGAGCAGAACTCCCTCGCTGCCCACCGATAAAAATCCTCATTGGTATGTATGTGTGAGGGGCCTGTTTTGGCAGAAGTCCAAGTCCTGAGCATAGCCATCAGCATTTAAATCTCTTCATTTTGACAATTAACATGTGAATGTTACTGACCTCAAGTCCATTAGTATAACATATTTCAGATTCAATTACTTAGCGATTTACTAAGACGCTATTTTAATGATGGGCTTCATTGAAATACTAGGCATTGTTTAACTGAAGCAAAAGCAACATAATCCAGAATTATACATTCTTAAAATGAAACACATTCTGTATTTTTCCCAGTTACTGTGGTGCTTGGACATTGGCTGATGTTAATGAGTCCCTGCTAAAGTTTGACAGGCAATACTTTCTGTCCAGGCTTCTCCGGAAAAGGCAACACAGAAAGGTAATTGAGATCACCGAGGTGGAGATTAAAGTGACGGCGATGAGGGTCATAGCCCTTGACAAGAATCGTTTATAACGGCCCAGATCCTTGTCAGTCAGCTTTGCAATATTGATTCTGCTCAAGTTAAGGGGTGTTTGGCAGACAACTGAGGTGAGGTTTGGCACCTTGGACCAATGGGCTTGGAGCCAGTTTCTGAAAGGAATGATATCATGGTCACATCTCCAGGGGTTTTGAGAAAGCACTATCTCCTCAGTGTCCTGCAGTGAGTTCAGGAGTTCTGTGTGAAGGTTGTACAGAGAGTTGTCATGCAGGTTAACGCACCTCAATCTGGGCAGGTTGTGAAAAATCCCCCTTGGCAGGGATTGGATTTGATTGTGCCTCAGGGAAATGTTGACTAGATTGTTCAGATGCGCAAAGGTGCCCTCCTCAAGGCTGACCAAGCGATTTGTGTGCAGGGACACCTCCCTCAGGTCACTCAGGCCCGCAAAAGCCCCCGCCGAGACAGAGCAGATGGAATTCCGACTCAGGATAAGAAGCTGAAGCTTGGTCAAGTTGCGAAAAATGCCGTCCTCCAAACGAGTTAGATTGTTGCTGTAAAGCCAGAGTTCAGTAAGCAACAGTGGGCCAAAGACACTGGTACCAAGGTTCTCCAGTCGATTCTGGAAGAGGGATAATTTCTGAAGCCTCGTAACATGCAAAAAAATGCCTTCTGGTAGGCGAACCAGATTGTTACGAGAGAGGTATAGAGTTACCAAATTCTCTAGGCTAGAGAAGAGGTTACTTGGGAGGTGTTCGATCTGATTGTCCTTCAAAGACAAGGACTCTAAGTTGGACAGGTCATCAAAGATTCCTTCTGGAATAACTCTCAGTGCATTTTTAGAAAGGTCCAGTTGTCTCAGTTCACCAAGTCCACGAAATAGCTCCTGCGGAAGGTGGCTAATTTTATTCCCACTGAGGAACAGTCTTTGTAAATTCTGCAAGCTGCTGAATAGCTGTACAGGGAGGTCTTGCAATTTATTTTCCATCAAATGCAAATCATTCAGTAGTACATTGTTTTGAAATGTACTTGGCATCACGGTACTCAGTTCAGATTTTTCAAAAGTGAAGTATCTAAGGCTGACTAAAAGTTCAATGTCGTTGGAATTAAGAGCAGAGATCCTTGTTCTACTTATGAAGAGATTAATGGTTTCATGAGGTATATTACTGGGGATTTCTGTGATGGTTTCGTCTTGACATTGTACTTTGTTTGAACTTTCACATAGGCATTTGCCTGGACAGTTTCCAAGGACGGCATTAATGGCATATGCGTTATAGAGCATGCAAAGGTATGTCCTCAGATTCATACTCCAAATACGGTTCATTACAAAGAAACCTAAAAGCCAAAAAGAAACAATGAGTCGGCATTATTTCATATTTATTCATTAATAATAATAAAATGATAATATCATTTTTTATTTCATTGTTCCATCACCCTCATTGCCCCCGATGGCACAATTCATAGTGTTCTTGGGATGCTTGCATAATTCTGTAAAAAATTATTGATTTCATAACAAAAGTCCATTGGCAAGCAATGTTCATCTGCACATGTCTTCCACACAGACATTTTCTGTTTATTTAATGTCATCATGTTTTTGAGTGACTCAAGCACCCAATGACACCATTCGTCAGTGAACTTTTTAATTCAGAACAGCTCTTTTATAACTACAATACAGGTGTCAATTACTACTTGACATGAACATTATACTTAAATTTTTATTCATTCATTCAATATTTCTACTGGATTAAGTAAATATCAAAAGACTTTCGGTGAGCAGTGTCCATTGAGCTCACTGAATGAAGAATCTGGTGTTCACTGAATCAGTCGCACAATTCAGAGTAGTTAAACCGATCACATTACATCAGAGATGTAGCTAGTTTTAGATATTTTACGTTAACACATTTAACTGTTAATTGCATATGTAGGAGCCATACCTGTAATTTGGAAAATATAACGTTAAATTGTTTTCAGTTAGTAAACAAGTAATTGTGCTTCCACCCAATTGCATATCCTAGTCAGAGCTACTTAGTACTGTATATATGAAAGGCCACTTTAATGCATGGGTTTACCCGGGCTGAAGTCCAGGGGGCTCCACCAAAAAGGGGCTTCGACTAACCTTGTCAAATTAAATTTTAAACCTGCAGTTTCCACCTGTCCAGTATTGAAAAATAAAATGCGGTGTCCCATTTTGAGCATTTTATAAAATCTTATCACCAAACGTATCCCCCCGAGAACCATACCATAGTAGAACATAGTGGAGCCCCCGATGACAAGTGAAATAGCTCTGAAACCCCTGTCCGTGTTAATGCACCTCTGTGTGTATGACATATATAACAAAATATAATAGAATGCCCTTTTTTGGTGTGAGCCATCACAATAATTGTTATTTCACGAAGCAAAACATTAAGAAATTTAAAAATATTTTAGCCATAATTTAACCATACCTTTGATGGTCAAAATATGAGTAAGTATCTTTAAAACTGTCTTCTTGTAACACTTGAAATTTTACATTAAGTAAAGGATGAAAAAAAAGTGAAAAATAATATCAAAATAGTGGCATATAAATTTGTGAGACACTGCATAGAAACATACAAGTGTAAAACATGAATACCTCAGTATGCATATATGAATATATTTTATCAACCAGTGTCTATTGTAATAAATACTGGATTACAGTCTTTTTAGTTAAAACTACAGTGTCTATCACTGTGAAATCACATCCCAAAATCCATAAATTCAATTAAACTATTTATAAGCATAGCGGCTCTTAATTTATACATACCTGAAATACCTATTTTTTGAGGAAAGGCTCGAGGAAACCTAATGTTTTTTGCTGTTGAGCAACTATACGGGAACGTTCCAGACTCCCTGCTTATTGCAGTCACTGCTACGCCCCCTGGGATCTGGGCGTCTGTATTTCTGTGGTTGAGATATACATGCTTATCTGTGAAACCATATTTTGCTTCAGCGGCATAGCGGCCAAACTGTAGCTACACTGACCCGCTTATTTAAAGACTTTATGTACTAACGGCAGTAGGGGTTATAGCAATAGCAGTACGTTACTGATCCCGAAGGAAATTCCAAAAGTTACAGCAGCACGCACAGAAAGTGACGTCACTGTACATATGCAAAATACACAAGACACAATACTGTACAAAACACACAATACAAAACTAAACCACATTGTGCCAAATGAAGTGTGCAACATTTAAATAGAATACAGTTCTTGAGGGAAAGAGGGAAGAGACAGAGGGTACTGATTCTTCACTTCCCCGTATTCTTTATCATTCTCTTCTTCAGACTAAGGAGTCTGCTAGTTATCATTGCAAATTTCGTCTAAATGGCCAGTACATTTAATAAACTAGCGCAGTCTTATGACGGAGCATCCGGATTCCTACAACCATTATTTCGTCTTAATGTTCTTCTCACCAGGGGGCGACAGAGTTCAGTTTACGTCAACTTTTTTTTTTTTTTTTAGATTTTTTTTAGTTGCTTCCACAATTTTTTAACATTAATACAATATATATATTTTCCGTATTTAAAAAAATGTAATAAATTCTAAGGAAAGTGCCATTATCATGAATTTGGTACAGTAAGGGTGACCAGATAATCCATGTGGAATTCATGTCTTTGAGCTAGGGCAGGATTTGTAAACTACCGTTTCAATGAAAAGTACTTCACTTAAGCACTGAGTTCTTCTTGTGGGCTGATTGGTCAGTCACCTATAATCATGCACTTTTTGGCCTTTTTGTTTTAAAGTAGTTTGGAAAACCTGAAGTAGCTCAAATTGCCGTCCCTGGCATGGATTACCTGCTCATCCTAGTTCAGCTGAGTTTTGGTTGACAGTTGTGTGTTTGGAAGATGTAAAAAATGTACCAAAAGTTAGTCCATGTTATATGTTCAGTGGCCAATCTTATCCGCAAAAGGCTGGTGTGTGTGTAGGTTTTTGGGATAACCTTCAGGTCAACTGCTCTAACTCAGGTGTGAGGATTCTTCAGCCTATCCGTCTTCTAATTAGTAATCTACTGCACACACAATCGCCCTTTCTATATAAGATTGCCCATCCCTAATCTAGCTAGTACTGAGTAGGACCCAGTTTGAACTTCAAAACTGCTTCAAGGGTAGATGAGCAGTGAAGTCACAGAAGTCTTTCTGCACACCTCTGTTATACCGAGCTGTTATTTTTCCACTTCCTCAATTGTTTTGGCCCTACAGCCACTGTCTGGATGTTTTTTGTTGTTTTTTTTGTTTTTTGCTTACTGCACCATTCTCTGTAAACTCTAGACACTCTAGTGTGTGGAAATCCCAGGAAAGTGGCTGTTTCTGAGATACAGACACAATCACATCTGGCACCGATGATCACACCACATACATAGATCGCTTGCATTATGTGTCTAAGGTATTCTAATGCTTAGCCAAGCAGTAGCTGAACCTCCTGAGAGTGTCTCTGCACTGTATTAATATTGCAGCTCCATGCTTTGCTGTTTGGAGGAAATGTCGGTTCGTATTAACAAACGGGCGTACCCAATGAACTGGCAACTGAGCACGACAGTTATTTCGCTATGACATTGTTAGTTTATTCATGTATTCTTTAAGCTGTACAACATACCATAACATAGAGTCTAACACCCTTTTCCTCACACAGCTTTGTATTATTACGCAGAAATGTAACCAACTTCACAACTCTGTTAATCCTTCTGGGAGTAATACCAATACAATTACAACAGAGAAAAATATCTTTAGGTAAAACACATCGAACGTGGAATGTGAGCCTTTTACAAGTTAAAAAATTCCCAAATGTTTTTAAGCATGGAGAGCATGTGAATGAAAGGAAACACGGAGCAGCACATCATGACAAGGTAAAGAAGGAGGAGCCCACAGCGGCAGTGCCTATGTTTTTCGTCTCCACCCCTCTCTCGGTTGCCGCGTCACACGCAGTACTTCCAGAAGCAACCTGTAGGTGGAGACAGGGTGCCGTTACCGTAATGGCAAAGACCATTCAACATGCGCCATGGCAAATACATGCTTCAGTGAGTGCCAGTCTAACTGTATGCCTTTTTGGAAGGGAATAGGAGAACAAGCCAGCTTCACTCATAGAGAGCAGAAGCAGGAATCGAGGCCCCAAACCTGGAGTTGTGAGGAATCGATGCTAACCCTCTTAGAGGGTAATAATAGAGGATACATTTATGGTAGAACATAACACTATATAGTGCTGATGAGTGATCAGCCTCCCATTTCACGCACATACATACTTCTTTTGCTTGGCAAGGACACGTCGGCTCCGACTGCATCTGAGATCAGCTCGTTCTGCAGATCCACATCCTCCTTCAAGCCCCCCAGCTGAAAGACATTGAACTGGTCACCTGACAATCTGAGATATGCAGAGAAACAGCAGAACATCTGCGTCAGCCCAGGAGAAACTCCTCAAACCCTCAAGCCACCCAAGATGCCTCTGCTTACGAATGATGAGGGACATTCTCAGGGCACCAGGTGTGGTAGATCTGTAACTTATAACCACAAGGTTGTTGGTTCAGGTGCTAAGTAAGGGAACTGCAACCGAATCCTTGAACAAAATATGAATAGCAAAAATAGCCAAAATGTTCAGCTGTACTATCTAGTAAGCTATTTACTTGGCTCAGATTAAAGAATTTAGGGATTCTGAAGACCAAAACTGAGTTCATACCTCCTCCAGCTCTTCCATTTTGCGTGCCATCTCCAAACCTATCAGGAGAAGATGATTGTACACAGAACGGTCATTATGTTATCCTTTGCCATGTCTGTAACTGAAGACAAAGCTCAGACACTCAAAGAAGGAAATGAAGTGCTTACCAATGACTTCGTTTCTGCTTATGGGAACCAAGCCCTTATGGAGCAACAATGCTACAAGCCTGTTCTGGACATCTGTGTCTTGTCTTGGCTGAAATTGATGGCTAACTGTAAAGGAAAATAAGATCAGTCAAGGCTCTGATTGTTAAGGGGTTGTTGTATTGTTTTAATTCATATACCAAGTAGTGTACAAACACAAAGAACCAAAGATTGTATTAATCATTGAATACAATCCTAAGGGATCTACTATTACATTTTTAAAGACATTGTCAGTCTGGAAATACCAGTTTGATACTGATACATCACTCTTCCTCAGAAATTAAACAGAATTTTTGGTAACACTTTACTTATAATGTAGAAATAATGTAGTACTGCACTCTTACTCATTGTATTAATTAACCAGAAGCTACGTGTTAGTTTCATACTAATCACATGTTCGTTCATCATTGATCAATCATAACGGTTCATGTATTTCATGCAGTTACTATTACTTTGATGATAATTTGTACTTGTGTAATGTCCGAGTTAATACATTTCTTGTTACCTTTATTTTTTTTTACACAAGTTTTTACCGATTATACTAAAGCATTAAGCAGACAAATTTATGATCAAGTTTCTGTTAAGAAGGAATTACTAGAGAGTTAATAGGAGTGGATCCTTTGTATCCAAGGTAAAAATAAATAATACGATGATCTTGCATAGATAAAATATCTGAATCCTGGCACGTCCAGACCTCCCTACCCTATGTTTATTTGAGTGTGTGCAAGTTACACCGCACAACCATCCAACCAATTTTCAACCATTTATCCAAAACATAATCGTGGGTAGGACTGGAGTCTATCTCAGGCAGCACAGGGCAGAAGGACAGGGTAACTCAGGACAAGGTGCAAATCGAGACCAAGAGTTTGTCTCGACCAACAGTTGCGTATAAAGAGACAGTTACAGAGTACCCAACAGGCTGGTTGAAACAAAAACTTGTTCTGGATTTTTTACTTTCTGGACCTGAACTATCCACCTCTGGCACATACACGCACAGTCATAAGCTATTCCCAATCTAAACATGCCGGTTAGCTTAACTACATATCTTTGAACTATGAAAGGAAATCAGAGGACTTGGCCAAATTCTACACACGGGGATTTGAGCTCCCATCCTTGGAAGTGTCTGTGTAACAACGCATTATGTAATGATGCAGCATTATGTAATACGTAACTCAACAGAATGTAACAAATTGAATGATGATAACAATAAGATAATGATGATGATGATAATTATAGGGTAATGTTGCAATATAAAATTCTATAAATAAAAGTCTATAAATTTGTAACATTTTGTTGAGTTATTACAAAATTCGGTGTTATTACATAATGCATTTTTACATGGTGTGTAACAACGCATTGTGTAATAACATCGCATTATGTGTTAAAATTTGTTACAATTTGTCAAGTAATTATATAATGCATTGTTACAGTCAGTCAACCCATTACAAATTCCATCATTAGCGGCTATAATGACTATAAGTTATAACCGCATGTTGTAGCATCACCAGCAAAAGCCCCGCAGATTCAGGCAGCGCTAGTGCCATAGGTGACTCTGCAGATCACGATTCAGGCTAGAGGTGCACGGCTTTCGTACCTGGCGATGGGAGGCTTCGGGAATCGGCACCGGGGATGTGGACCAGCAGCAAAGCCACCAGCGTGGGACAGAAGGTCACGGAGGCGGTTCGGACCATGTCGGCGCAGGCGGTCTGTTCCAAGGTGTGCACAGCCAACCAGGGACTCGTCTGTCTCTTCACTGCATCCCAAGCTCCAGCTTTTAATCAGAGGGAGAGGGAGGGACCAGGGTCGGAAGGGGCCACCCCCCCGACCCCTGTAGCCGTAAATCCATAGAACGACATGGAAGCCGGATGATCAATCTACGCAAGAAGGTGGAGGATTATGAAAATGCGACGCGCGGCCTCTGGCTCCAGCAACGCTCCCTCCATCAGCCAAATAAAAACCGAGCGAAAAGGAAAAGAAAGATAGAAAGGATGGCTCACTCTTGGAGGTGTTATTTATCACTTTTATTTCTTGTATTGCTGCCTTGGCAGGAACAGTCTTTAATTCATTTAAATTCCTCCATTTTATAAAAAAAAAAAAAAAAAGAAACGGCGAAGACATTTTTCAAACATGGTTAATCAACCTAAGTGCATAGAGTGTGTGATACTGCTAAATTTATGTTTTGGGCCAAATTTGGAGTAGAAACCTAACATAAGGTACGGATCCTATCTCAGTTCCAGCAGAAACAACTGAACAGGAAGAAACACTGAGAAGCTCTTGTTTGCTAAGCATATGCAGGGAGTGACACCTTATGGGTGCCAGTCCAGTTTCTCCTGTCCTGCTCATGTTCATAGGGGAACCTCAAGCCTAGGCCAAGGAGCACAGGGTATAGCATGGGGAATATGGGCAAATACACTCACAATAACACGAAGGAAGACCTCAGAGACACAGAGTCACATGACTACATGCCTTTGGACACCAGGAGGAAACCATCAGAAACACAGAAAGGACATGAAAACGAAACACACACCGAGTCGGGGGTGGGACTCAAACCAACAACCCACAACCTTTCGATTTCCTTGCTTGAAAAGGAGTAGGCAGAAGTATAAACTTTTTTGGTCCTACCCCATTCATACCATATCACTTCAAGATTAACCTCCTTCAAACAGCTGAATAAATGAACCTTGCAACAAAACCAGCAATTCTACACATTGATCGGGCAAGAAGCATAAAGGCAGGTTAATACACACTCTAATCTCAAGAACCTATATATACAGTGCCAGTCAAAAGACATAGAAAGGTTTACTTGTATCATTCTCTACAGTTTAGAATCATTATAAAGATCTATAACGTAACATATATGGAATTATGCACTGACCAAAAAATGTATTAAACAAATAAAATTATGGGTTGAATGAAAAAATGGGTTGGACTCAGAAGGTTGCCAGTTTAGGTCCCAGTGAATGCAAAGTTACCACATCATTGGACTCTTGAGCAAAGCCTTTAACCCCAATTGCTCCATGGACTGGCTGATCCTGCAGTCTCCTCTACTCCAGATCCATGAGGTGGCCTCCTGGGATGCTCTGCCTGCTGTCCTGAAGGAGGTCCCACATATGCTGAGCTCTCATTGGCTGCTTTTCCTTCACTCTCTGGTCAAACTCCACCAAAACCATTCCTACCTAGGTGAGGTGGCCAGGTCATGTGATGCGACACCATTACTCTCCTTTGTAGGTGGATTAACGCGTCCAAACTGATTATGTGTGTGTGTGTGTGTGCGGTCCAGGTATACCTTACCTTGTGGGGACCAAATGTCCCCACAACGTGATGAATATCCATTTTTAACCTTATGGGGACCAGGTTTTCCTTGTCCCCATATGGGAAAATTCTATTTTATAAAAATCCGTAACTGCAATGAAAAAACTAAAAATGCAAAAACTCTTGTATTTTGTTTAGTTACTTATGGTTATGGTTTAGGTTGTCATAGTTATCATTAGCATTTTTCCCATGCAAATGAGCGGTCCCCAAAAAGATATGATTACTTGACTGTGTGTGTGTGCGTGCATGCGTAGTTAAATAAAGCTATATAAACATATATGTTCCCCTTAACATTGTTTACACCTTTATGCTCTTTAAACTTTTTGTGTTATATTTTTTTCAGGTGTATAACCAAAGCTGCAATAAAACTGTGACACTAGAATTTATTTCCAGTAGATTGATCTATATATTTTAATTAACTGAGGTCAAGTGGTCATTGACTCACCATTATTTCTGTCCAATGACATTCCAGAGTTAGACTAAACGCTTGAGTCTAATTGACTTATGTAATTCATCCTGGTGTATTAAATGTGTCCCGTTTTGTCTCATTTACTGTGTAAATTGAATGACGTAGGTTTTCCTAATTGTATTTTGTTTGTCGTTGCATGTGTTTTAGCAAGTATTAAAGAGATGGTTTTATGGCACTAGGCAGAGGGAAAGCTGGGAGCATGAATATGTCATACAACATTAATTTCAAAATACTTTTACTTTTAATATCAACCTTTGTTGTGAAACCCTGCATCTTCTAGATGAACTACACAGTTATATTGTTCATTCAGTAAAGCTAGAAATATGTTTCATTATACAAACAAAGAAAAAAATAGTATATACTGTAGAAATGTTTAGGCAAAAGATGATGTCATACGTATCGTGAGGCTGCATGGGATAGGCTGACTTTGAGTGATGTCACAGTGGAGCTTAGCAACTTTCAGATAGAGCAGGACTTAGAGGGAACACAGTATGGCAGGGAGGGGCAATGAAAACAAAACAACACTCAGCTGGGAGTCAATTATTACCGCCGGCTGATGACAATCAACCTGCTTCTCCTTGGGGCTTGAAAGGGCACTCCAACGCCAAGGTAGGAAGGAGGAAGAACTCTCTTCTCCCCCACTGCACATATACAGTGGCATGCCAAAATCTGGGCACCTCTGGTCAAAATTTCTCTTACTATGAATCGCTATTACTAAGAATAGCTAAACAAGTGACCCAATTTCCAAAAGGCATGAAGTTAAAGACAACATTTCTGTATGTTTCTAAAGCAAGATTACTTTTTTATTGCCATCTTTTACAAATAGCGAACAGACCCAAAGTCTGGGCACTCTGCATAATCATTGCTTAATAATACCCCCTTTGGCAGGTGTCACACCTTGTAAATGCTTTTTGCAGCCAGATAAGAGTCTTTAAATTTTTGTTTGGGGATTTTCGCCCATATTTCATTTCAAAAGGCTTCTGGTTTTGTGAGATTCTTGGGCCTCTTTTTATGACTATCCACAGATTTTTGACCTTCTTCTTCTGTCTCTTGTGGATTTTGAGGTTTCTTAAGATCATGACCATGTTGCAACTCCTTTCATCTTCAGCTTTTTTTACAGTGTGTTCCCTTCCAAAATTTGTTGGCAACCAATTCTACTAACTGCAATTTTTAAATTACATTACGAACTGAGGAATCGGCTACTATAAAATGCTCTGCTATCGTGTTATAACCGTCTCCTGCTTTTTGGGCATCAGTTTAATTTTCACAGTGCTAGGCAGCTACTTGGATGAGCCCATGGATGCTAATTGTTGGGACAAGGTTTGAAGATCAGAGTATTTGCATCACCTGGCCTTTCATAAAAATGATTGTGAAACAATTAATCAATCAATCACTTTAAATAGTACAGTTTTAACTACAAGTTTACGAAGTGCTTTAAAAGAAAAAAAATACGAAATTAAAATAACTACAAGAAATTTTAAAATATGTGCATAAAATAATGACTTAACTGATATTCATAGGTTATTATATGCAATGGGGAAAAGATGCATTTTCAGCCTAGTTTTGGAAGCAGTAAGACATTCAATAGCTCTTAGGATTTCTGGGAGTTTGGGGCCATAGTGAATAAAAGCTGCTTCCTTCCTCCTCAGAGGGGTTTCAGGAATAATCAGAAAATTACTGTCAGATGATCTGATGGTCTGCCTGGGAGATACCTTACAATCATGTCACTGAGGAAGAATGGAGCAGCACCATGTAAAGGTTTAAAAATTAGCAAAGGAACTTTAATTTAAAATCAATCCTAGTAGCTGGTTACCAACCATCTGATGTGGTTGGTGCACCTGAATTGATGGAGGATCCAGCCAAAGGAAGAGGTTAGAGCAATACAGGAGACCAGACCATGACTGAGATGACGAAGCAAACCTTCACATGGCCTGCCTGTTACCTGAAAACCACCATGTAAGATCTGGACTCAGAGCAAGCACTGAGAGATGAATCTCATGATACTCAAACTCCTCCATGGGATGATTCAAAGTTCACAGGCTCACTGGCTACAGAATCCATCAGCTGTCAACTTGGCCCCGCCTCCTGAGGAGTGCGCCAGTACCAGGTCACCCTATTGGAGCCCTTTTAGAACCTGGCAGCACAGCAACACTGGCAAGACCAACCTGCCTACACAGCCAACCTCCAGGAAACGTTCGTACCCCATTGCTTGCTTCCAAGAGGACGTGTGTCACAAAGGCGAGGATGGTTGAGCAAATCTCGGTATCTCCTAACCCTGGTTTATTTCAGAAGATCACCCACATTACAATTTTTCTCAGGCACTTAACCACATTGGTCAAAACAGCAACCCCATTCTCTACCCAGCCAACACAACCTGTGAAGCATTAACACATCTCTGTAAAACTCCCTGCTTCTCTCCTGTGGCTCAGGCCACAAATTTAGAACATCACACCTTATATGTTCTATTACAATGCAATGTGGGGAAAAAATAGCGATAGACAAAATGACACTTCATGAACCATTTGTTGTACTTATTGATGCCACTAGATGGTGCTATCTGGTCAAAAAAGGGGTACAAAGCATAGTATCCAAGAGCACCATCTAGTGGGGTAAAAATACAGCAACTCACTATAAAAAAAAAAGTCTGCTATGAGGAATATAGCAGTCTTCTGCGATAATTGCCTCACAAGCAAAATTCACCACATCAAGTAAGATCCATAGGATGATAATATTGGACTGTCTTGCATCTGCCTTTTCTTGAAGCGCAAGTCTAAAAATGCAATGAGGCGTTGTACAGTCCAATCAAGGGTATGTGGCCAATGACAATATTCATTGAGATGGTAGCAACCATGGTGATGTTTGCGCCATGTTGGCCTGGCACATCCACTGTAGCTCTGTGGCCAATGGCGTTCTTCCCTCTCCTCCTGACTTTCCCCAAGTTGAGTCCAGCTTCATAAACAGCTGTGGTGAGTCACTGCCATCATTAAAGTTCCATTATTCTCCAAAAAGAAACAAAGACGACAACAAAGCAAATCATGCAAAGCACCATCAAGCAGAAACACAGTTACAGGACAAGCATTGAGAATAATACCAACCTGTACATACTGGTACCTCAGTTCCTTCATTCGCTCAGTGCTTCTTTCAAATAGTACCTTGTACAACTGTTTCATTCTGAGTTGATGCTTATGCAGCAGTTTCATTCTGAGTTGATGCTTATGCAGCACACAATCCATTGGAAGTCTTCACTCCACTCTATAGATTGGATCAATTGGAGGTCTTCAGTCCACTCTATAGAGGAATGCATAGACAACATTCATGCTATACAGTAATTGGTTTCATGTTGGACTAATGCGTGATTGCTAAAGAAAATGTGATTCATAGCTTAGTCTGTACAGGTGCAACAGAGAATCTACTGAGGCTGGGTTGTGCCCTCTGACCCTCTGCTCTCATTGTGAGGTCATGATTTATCATGGATCTCATTTGAATTACAGTTTTTCTCAGGCACTTAACTATATGCTGTATCCAGCCAATACAGGCTACATACTGTAACAGTAAACAATCTGCCAAAACTCCCTAACTCGATCAAAACAAAGACAAGCTACAAAATGCTATAACCAGGAATGGACATAACTGGAAGGCAAGTACGCATTTACCTTTAAAAATGATATGTGTGACAATCGATTGTTTGTAAAAGCGCAAATGAGTATTTATTTTATGTGCATTTGCGCTGCTATGACAAGAAAATACCTTGCATTTTAACCTGTATACCGCAAATGAAGTCGAGTTAGCATAAGATGCATTATATTTTGTTTTCATATCAGCCTGTCCCTTCTCAAGCACACTGACTCAAATGAATAATCAAAAGAGCAACATTTTTTCACTGCTTAATGAGACACAATGCGAGAAACCAAACGAATGATCAAATATTCTGAAGCATCTTAATTGTATCCCAAAAATTCACGTGAACACTCTGTTACAACGCATTATGTAATAATGCCACATTATGTAATAACTCGACAAAATGTAACACGAAACACCTCCTCTACTATGTCACTCAGTGGTTAGGGGATGAGAGTGAAGTTGCTGATGGTTCCCTAAAACTAGACTGCTATGGTCACGGAGCTTGTCCATGCTTATCCCATGGAGGTCCACTTTTGTAACTGGTCGACAGAGATGAAGAACTTACCAAGGATTGGCAAGGATTTGATCGAGCCTCTTCCCATGTTGGTTCAGGGTCACAAATGTATTCTAGTACTTGTCCATTACACCAACCAATATCCTGAAGTTGTGCCACTCTAGAGACTGACCTCCAAAGCAGCAGTGAAGCTCTTTCTACTATCCAGTGGTGTTGAGGCCTCAGGGGAAAGGTGACAGTATTAGGGGGCTCCGTTTGTGCATCAGCTCATGGTAGAGCTGAGCAAAAAGGTGTGACTCGTCCTGTCATAGTATATCAATAAGGACTCTAAAAGCCAAGTCTTTCAAGATGGTTGGTAGAGCTGGTTCCCCTGAACTTAAACTTCTCTTCTGTGCCTGGAGAAAAAGAGGCCAAACTAACAATGAACAGAGTCCCATTCAAGAACAGGAAGTCAGGGATCTTCTGGCATAGTATTGAGGCGTCTTCTCTATGAACACAGGAGGAACTGATATCATACAGCATGACATCATTATTTCTGGAGGGGGAATCGTCCGACACAAGCCCTACTGTATTCCTGTATTCCCTCTGGCGAGCTGTAGAAATTATGAAGGTGAGGCAACTAGGAGTCGTTGAACAGTGAAAAAGTGCTTGATTTAGCCCCATTGTTCTCGCCCTGAAACCAGACAGCGTTCTGTTTCTATAGTGACTTCTGGGAGCTAAATGAGGTGTAATGGATGGATAATGTCACAGAAGTACAAAAGGAAATTACTGTGATTACTGTTTGATGGTTAATCCCAAACATACTACACATTGACTACATGGATGGATAGGAATGAAAAGAAAGACAGGTAGATAGATAGATAGATAGATAGATAGATATCTTATTAATTCCACAGGAAATAGAATGTTCACAGTAGCTGAATACACACATTAAGAAAAAAACATTTACACATTAATAGAGAACAACAAACAATAACAATAAAAGGAGGGAGGTATGCTTCCTGATAAGTGACTTTTGAAGTATGAACCCTGAAATGCTTTCCAGAGGCTACTCATTTGGAATACCTCACAACAAAACACTGAGAGAATTATCTGCTGTTATTAATTCCGTCTATATTAAACTCCACTGCGTCACCAGTAACCGAACAAACATCCAGAAGTGGTTGCCACCATGGCAGGACATGTTAATCATTGCAACTTTGGAAAGCTGCCCACCAAAACACCCTCAGCACGTGAGTCTTCCTACAAGTGAAAGTAAGAGCACAACTACTGAACCATCGAGACAGCTTATCGCTCCGCACCACGACCTCACTCTGGTAAGTCCAATCACAAGATAAGTTGTAACATAAAAACAGAAGTTGGATACTCATCTCAAATGCTGGCCAGTAATAAAAGAACTGAAACCAATTTTGTTTTGAAACAACTGGTTGGAATGTATTTAAGGAATTGTAACAAAAATATTCATAAACATGCGGAAGCCATCACATAATACACTGAGTACTGCTTTCTATTAAGGAAGATTGAGTTGTATAGAAATAACCAATGTTTATCAAGAACATTCGTACTGATCTACAAAATCTGACAGGCATATTCAACTCAGGGGAAAGAATCTTTAAAAAATAATGGTAACACTTTACTTAAAGCAGTGATATAAATGCATTATAAATACCCTCATAATTGATTATAATGCGTTCATAAAGCCGTGTTTATAATACTTTATGAATGCATTATGATGGTATCTATAATGCATTATGATGGCTGCTTTAAGTAAAGTGTTACAAAAATAACCACATATTACCTAAACAAGCACGTCAAACACGCAAAATAATTTAAGAGACGAGGTAACATAAGAATCAGGGGAATCGTTAGTCCCATCATTTTTTTTTTTTTTTGATGGGGGGGCTTACTCCACCCCCCCAAAATCCCCCTTCCCCCCAAATAAATGTGTATTTATTGGCTTAAGCAATTAATACTTTGCTGTCAGCCCCCCAAGTACAGACTCACCTCCCCATCCATTCATCTCTAACTGCGCCCCTACTAAGAACTTTATTGATGAATTCTGCTGCATACGGCAGCATGGTATGTAAAATACAGACAAATAAACATTTTATGTGAAATTAGAAAAGGGCAAAGACAGTAAACACAGTCAAAGTGATATGTAAAAGTACACAGTACATAGACAATACGCAAAAAGAATATTAAGGACCCCATGGTACAGATGTTACTGCCTCCAGTGGACCCAGGGCTGACGGAGCTGCCCCTCCAGATGAGTTTTTTCGGGCATTTAGCGTCACCTGGACTGATGGCACTTCCCCAGCACGCTGGCCACTATGGACTGGTAAGACATCCCCATTTAAAATATTAAGTTGTGTCCCACCCATCACACTCTCTCCTCCACCCTTGCTGAGCCACCTCAGACAATGAGTCGGCTCTGGCCTTTCTTATACAGCGCTGTGTTCTCCACCCAGCCCAGTCGGCCATCCAGGTGGACCTCAGGTACTTGCATGCCCTGCTCCACCCCCACTTCCTCCCCCTGGATGGTATCTGCTATCAGGGGCTCTGCGTCACGCCGGAAGTCCCCGACCAGTTCCATTGTCTTGCTGATGTTGTCGTGCAACTTGTTCTCCTCGCTCCACAAGACGAAGTCCTCTACTAGTCTTCTGCACTCTGACTCATCTCTATCGCTGATGTGTTCTACAATGGAGGCGCCGTCCGAGAACTTCTGTAGATGGTAAAAGCCGGTGTTGTACTGGAAATCCAACGTGTAGAGGGTAAACAGGACCGTTCCCTGCGGTGTCCCACTGTTACTCACCACCATCTCCAGCACACTGTCCTGGAGCCTCGGAGGGCCGCCCGTAACACAGAGAATGGTGGGAACATCAAGCTGTACTGTCCTGAGCTTATTCCCCAATGAGAGAGACTAGGCCGTGTTAAAGGTGGTGGAAAATTCAAAGAATATGATTCTGATTGCGGTGTCAGCTTTGTCCAGGTGGGAGCAGGATCTGTGAATCATGAGCTTCAGAGCATTGTGCACACCTATGTGTACCTAGTAAGCTGTCCCCACCTACAGTATAGTGCCTAGTAATCTGTCCCCACCTACAGTAAAAAAAAAAAAAAGATTTGCCTGCAATTGAAATACCCAAACCAACAAACTAAGTTAATTTTTGATACAATTGTCTGAGTGGGGTGTACAGAAAGTGTGTAAAAGCAAAATAAAAATAACTTTAAAAAATCTGGTGCTGTCATATATCAACAGCACAAGCCCTGATTCCTTCAATTTACTTGTTGCACATAAGATCTATGGATGATGACATTTCTATGACTTTGCACCTAGTTTTTGATCGCATGGAAAAAGTGGACACCTATGTTGGATTGATGATTAATGATTGCAGCTCTGCAGTCAATGCATTCATTTGCTCAAAACTGGATGCAAAACCCACTGATCTGGGATTGTACAACTCCATCTATAACTATACACTGAACAAAGTAAAGGCAAATAGGACTGGCAATAAAATCCCCTATAATAGAATCACAGACACAGATACTCTTCTTTACGTCACAGCAGTAACCACAAAAGTAATTTATGGGGGGCAGTGTGTGGCTCAGTGGGCTAACCCTGTGTGCCTGTAATCAGGAGGTTGTTGGTTCAAACCCAGCCTCAGCATGTCTGTGGGTCCTTAGGCAAGGCCCTTAACCAGGTACTGTTATGGGTGGCAGCCCTTTACAGACAGTTTACCCTACAAAGAGGGAGGTGTAAGGACAGTATTTATTATCTAAATACTGAGTTGAGGTAGCAAATCCATTTAAGTAGTTCCATGACAACAACTCACACTTGAAGGTGAACAGAACAAAATAACTCATTGTGGACTAAAGGAGACATGGTGGATCTCGCACTGCGGTCAGTATGGGTGGAGCAGCAATTGAAATTCTCAACTGTTTAAAGTCTCTTGGACTACAAATTTCAGGTGACCTCACAGGAATCGCAAACACCGCTTATTCTCTGAAAAGGTCTGAAGAATAGCTGGCGAAAGCAAACCATGACATTCCACCCCGGCACAGCAGAAAGCATCCTCACTGTCGTGGTATCACAGTCTGCTATGGCGACACCAAGGGACAGGAAGTCCACCCAGAATGCTGCAGGAATCCATAGGGTCTGAGCTTCCACCTGCTGCAACAGCTAGGTCGCGAGGTCCAAGTCATCCACGACACAGACTGTTTTCCCTGCTTGCTTCTGGGAGGAGATATTGTTGTGTCAAAATGCAAACCAGATTTTCCAACAGTTTCTACCCTCAGGCAATACGCATCATAAACAGTTTATACTATTTATACTGTCATACGTACCACTACACTTGCCTTTTTTCAGTAATTTGAAATTATTGAAGCTGCTCTATTTCTTTAACTACTTATTAAATCTTATTTATTACTTTTACTGTTATTGAATCCATTACTTGTACAAATCTCATTTACTTACTAAGTTCATCTACTGCTCTGCTGTTCCACTGTAATTGGCACTTATTGTACTCCTGGAGAATGTTCTCATTACTTACAGAACCGAAATGGCAAGAACTCCAATATACTCTGGACAAATGACAAATAACCCTCTGTTGACGTGCCAAGGACCTCATGCCAAGGACACCAACCTCAGCGTTCATCACTGGTCCTCCCCCTCCAGAAGCAGCATGGTGCTTTGGGGGTGGGTCTGTCATAGTGGAGCTTGGGAAGGTTCAGCGCTGCGCCGGCAGCACTGAGCATGGAGGGAAGCACTGTTAGCACTGCCAGCTGAAGACAAATGACCTGGCTCTGCCTGGGGCCGAGGGCACACCCAACCTGAGGCCGGGAGGAGAGAAAGACTCCTCTGTAACCGACCTCACTCCTGTACACCTGTCTGACTTCACCCACGGGGCTCTGCCAAACACACAAAGCCCCACGAACCGCGCCCCCCAGGGCGACGTGCCTGGACACCACAGACTCACCATTTCGTCCAGATTTCATCCCTTTCATGGTGTACTTCATCTGGCATTGTATGACGACAAGAAAGTTTAATTGAACTGACTTCTCAGCACAGTCAATGCTCGAGTTGCATTACCAATAACAGCTGTCCCTTACAGCAGGGTCAGTGTGGGGGGGGGGGGGGGGGGGTGCATTCACAGGCCATGTCCCCCCAAATGAGTCATAGTGCCCCCCCAAATGCCCACCCACCAAGGACACCATTTTCTATTTTACTTTAACTTTATTTTTCAATTCATCCTAAAACAAATAAGCCCCCCATGTGCCCCCCCCTCAGATCTGTGTTGTGACTGAAGGATTCCACTACTATTTTTTTGATTATGTTGACTTTAAAAAGCATTTTATGTAAAAGCACGATTTTGAAATATATTTTGTACTTCTCAATGCAGTTGGATTCAATTCCTACTTTGATTGCAGAGGTAGAGTGTGGTTTAAACCAATAACCTAATTCTGAAGTTTGGAAAATTCTTTGATATTAAAGTATAATAATACAGAATTGCGTATCACAAAGGAACCACAACCATTTTGTGATTACAGAGTTACAGAGCAACTTGACAATGGCTATATTATCAAAAAGAACCAGAATATACAGTATATGGCACACTTCCAGGATTGTGGATTTAATTCCCACTCTTTCTGTTTATATAGCATAAGTTGACGGGTCACTGGTGTAATCTTACTGGTACGTGACACTCTATCAGGTCTGGGAATATCAGCCAATCCTTCCCAGTCGGACTTTGAACTGTTTTCCAAATTTGTCAGCATAATTTGGCCAATGCTTTCATTCTTTTGTTCAGCTGCTTGTAGTATTTTTATTGAGATGCCATCTATCTACTTGGTCCTCCTTTACAAGCAGTGGTCTGACGCCTCATTGGACTTTCTCTTCTATTACTGCTAGTGCTTCGTTATGTACAGTATCATCCATCCATCCATCCATCCATCCATCCATGCATCTGACCCATAGCTGTCAAGTCTCCCGTTTTGGCCGAGAAACTACCGTATTTTACCCCTCTTTCCCGCCGTCCTCCCGTATTAGTATTTTCCCGTAAATCTCCCGTATTATAATATCATTAAAAAAAAAATTCCTCTGTCTCTCCAAACTGAACTGTCAGTAGCCTCGCGAGAACTGCCACCAGCTGTAGTCTGCAGGTCATTTACAACATTAACCAGGTCATAAATGCGGAGGTTAAAATGACAATGCTGTGTGCCAAAAACAACGTTACTTTCACCTCTGTGACGACTTCAACAAGGATTCAAAGTCTGCAACAAATATGTATAATAAGTCATTAGTGAATGCTAGAGAGCCACATGAGTGAACATGAGAAATTAAAAGAAAATTTGTAATGAAAATAAAATGTAAATGACAAGTGGTTATTTTAGATTTCTTGTACACCTGTCTTAAAATGTAAGGGATACTGGAGCTTGGTTGGGGTGGTGGGATGGCTCGCGGTGGGTGCCGGAAAATTTCCCTTATTTTCAAATCCAAAACTTGACAGGTATGATCTGACCATTTTCCAATCCCACATTTTCTGTGCAGACTTCATAAAAGATATCTTGCTTGTTAATGTGCTTTCTGTAGAAGTATATCCCCTGAGTTCCTCCCATTCTTGCTGGATCTTTGTTCCATCCACGTCATATATAAACATTAATTGTTTTTCCCAATTTTTGTTTGTTTGATGCTCCATTAAAGTAAAAAAAAAAACATTTGAGAAACCAGAAGGGGCAGCAACTGAAGATGTTAAACTCGCCGCAGGGAAACAAATCGAAATCCAGTTGATTTTGTTGGTAGGTGTCAATCAATCAATCAGTTTATTTCACTTGGTCAATTTTTTTTCAAATATCATCATTAAGTCACAAACACAAACTGTTTCATTACATACAATCCATAAGTGAAAAGGGGAGCAGGAAGAAAAGGTGTATGAACTGAAACAGCAACATTCGTAGAGATTCCAGTACACCTTTCGACTTGTTTTTAATATCAACACAATTCATTCATCAGTGAATGAATCATCCTCCTATAAATAGATGTTACTGTTAAGCAACAGGTGTAAATAACGAGCGCGCTTTTCATATTATTGCTATTTGCGTATCACATGTTTAATAAAAAAAAAAAAGAGTCAGGCGTTAAACCAATGATTATACGCGTCTTGCACCGGCAATCAAATTAGCACAGGCTAACGCTTGGTTAAATCGAAACGCTCTTCGTCAGCATGACCCGTCCGGCCTCCCGTAGCGAAGGAGAATCGAGAATCATAACTCACACATAAAGTGCAAAAGTGGGAGGGACGGAGGGACAAATCTGTTAGTGGAGCATTGGTCCCTGCAATTAATCAAACACCGTTTTCTTAAAAAATAAAACAGCAATCGTTGGCAAATTTTCTTGGGAAAAATATAGTTCAGGACAAGCAGTTCTCGAAGTACTCCCAGTATGGCTGATTATATCGATCAGAATAGTTTACCTGGAGTTAAAGAAGGTAAGTTTGTTTCCTGGTAGAAACTTTTGTTTTTTGTCTAATGTTTTTCACCTACAAGTGGAATACGTACGTACTGGTGCCGTCGTCATTGCCACACCGCGGTGACAGCATAATGTTTAGTTAAGTACGCTTTCCGAAAACGAGTTTCATTTTGTGTCATTTCATTTCGTTTGTTTTATTTGCTCCCCCCGCCTCCCATGCATTTAGACTGATGCAAAATCTGTCCCCTAGCTGTTTGAATATGTTATCTGCCAGGGTATTTACTAGTGCTTATTGCACTATAATTCTTGAGAATAACAGGGGCAGACAACAAGAAGGGACGCGAAAATGTGTTCTTTATATGGTTATGTAATTGTTTGTTTAGTTTACGGCAGCGAATGGCTTTGAGAGGGGAAAGCGCACTAACCGCGTAGGGGATGCGTGAGGCGCGGCTCCGGCGCTGCAGTTACCCCCCGCTTGACACGCACCGGTACGGCGTCCTCTTAGAATTTTAGAATTTAGAATTAGGTGATCAGTGGTCATTGTCAACATACCACAGCACACAGTGCGCAACAACGAAATGTGTCCTCTGCATTTAACCCATATGTGACTTTCGTGACATAGCAGGGGGCAGCTAATTGTTAATGAGATCGGTGCACTGGCAGCTGTACAGACCTCAAGTCATCCGAAAAATGGAGAACACTGCAAGGGAAACTTAAAGATTTTTTTTTTCCAGAAAGATAGCAAATATAAAAATTAATTTGGGTTGCGTTTTGTCATTAAATGTGGAAACATTGGCGATGATCCATGGCTTTAGGTAATTTGAGTTTCTTAGTACAAACTCAAAATTTAGTGGAAAATAAAGGAAGGAAGTGAGAAGAGAGCGTGAAAGTTGAAATCTGCGTACCGCTGGCATTTTTAAAAAAATATTTTATTTTATTTTTGGACGTCCTGGCTGCCTTGCGTCACCGGTGACGGGGCATATCACTCATTCCATTGCCGTCACTTTTACATACGTATTTACATTCTTGTCGTCTGCCCTCGTGTTGTCTAATTTGCTTGCAGCAATCAGACTTCTCCTTCACAAGTCCGTGATGACCCTCCAACTTCGGTGACAAGTCAGATTGTCTGATGTTTGTCTGCCTCTATTGCCTCCCTATCCTCCTTGTAGATATTACCTGCCTTTTCGTTTTTCTTGAAGAACGTGGCGGGGGGAGTGGAAGTAGGCTAGCTAAGACAGGATATTGTCTCTTGCATCTAGTGTCCCATCTCCTCTGTGTTTTTGGAGTAATTACATCTATTCCTTCTTGGACAGAAGTTTGCCATTATTTTGAAGCAGAAGTAAATATGATCACATAATTTTTTTTATTAGTTATTCTTTGCTTGTGGTTGAATACTTGCATTTTTATATCAGGATTAAATAAACCTAGATCGAGACTGAATTATGTATCACATTTCATTTCTGGAAGTGCTCTGATCCTACTTTTTCGGTGAATACTAATCGGATACCAAAACTACTTAAAAATGTAAAATACAAATGAAAAGAAAATGTAGGCCTATACCAAGAGAAAGATTTGTTAATTAGGCTATTAGAAAAATACATAACGTGCTGTTCCACCTTGTTCGTACATCCTGTTTTAAACATTTTTGAAGCATTTGCACTTCAATTTGAATATCTTCCAAGCATGAATGCTTAAAATACCCCACAATTTGTCACAAACTGGCAACGGCGTCATTTACACTTCGTACCACAAACTGCAGCGAGTGCGCAAAACACCCCAAGCTAGCGACTCCCAAATTAAACATTGCTTTTTTGTCATTACTCACGTTGTCTCGCACAATTGCGTGCGCTTTGTTTAGCGGGATTTTCCACTAAACACTACTTCCACCTCTCAGAACTTGTTTTTTTACAACGTTTATAAATGGCAGTATTGCTAGTTGTTGCTTCAAGCGTAAAATACTTCCAGATTGCAAACATGTTAGTTTGATTTGCAAGCATGCAAGTTGCATTTACTGTCGTTACCCTCTTATCTGATGCTCTTGCGCTGTTACTGCTCCAAATGATATGCACATGACGTCACAGCAGGGGGAACTCACCGAGTGGCAAAAACACTGAGTGGCAGCGTTAGCGATTAGCACATCTGAATTGGGAAGGAGCTGATTTACGCTTGGTTATGTAAAACGACTCAACAAGAAATACGGGGCTATCTTTTTACAGACTGCCAAAAGCTAACTGCCACCGTGTGTGTGTGCTTGTAATATGTGTCAGTCAGTGATATTTTAAACAGACGGGATATTTTTTGAATAGATTTCTGCAGAAACAGGTTTCAAGAACTGAATTCACTATTTGAAACTCGATGCTTTTGTTATTGCTACTGTTTCTCGAACACAAAGTGCCCGCAGCTGCATAAAAGATGTTTGTGTGAATGTGTAAACCTTGTCTATTGGTCTCTGCTTTATGGCCTCTCACATTTTGGTTGTTCTGCTTGTTTGTGGTTTTTTTCTTAATGAAATGTCGGATCGCAAGATCAGACATGTCGGTAACGGACCTGCACCTTTGCACATGCATGTTTGTATGCTGTAGTACCCATGCTCTATCAGGGTTGTAGGTCCTGAACCCCTTTTTATCCAATAAAGATTTAAATATTTTTTTTTTCTTCCCCCGTCCTGCTCAAAATGATTCCTCTGTAATTTACTACTATCAGCCAGAACAAAGAGATTTATTAGCTACAAAAGAGACGGGAGCAAACGCCTCGTTTGTCTTCTTGACACTTATGAAGTGTAGGCCTGACAGTACAAGGCTCCGTTAGTCAGATGCCTTGTTGGGGGGGGGGGTGTTTAATTGGCAATGAGTCACAGCATCCCATCTCCCAGCACAGAGGTGATGCACTCTTGATGTGGTGTGGAATAGATGGCTTATATCTTCAAAAACATCGCACATGGTGGATGATTCCCTTGACTCTCTGCAGGGTGAGCATATGAACACAGAATTGTGACATAGAGAAATCAGGTTTGGGTCAAGAAGGGACTGAGTTCCAGTTTCGCAGCCCTTGCATCTCCCCATGGAGATCTCCACTGACATCTCTGTTCTTCTGCTTCCTCCCTGCAGTATGCCGGGACTTCGCCTTGTTGGAGGATCACTCGCTGGCGCAGAGTCTCCAGGACCAGGAGAGTAAGTCTGACCACTGGCGACATGCTCGATCCCAATATTTCCCAACCCAGTCCTTGAGGACCCGCAGATAGTCCACGTTTTTGCTCCCTGTCAGACAGTCCACGTTTTTGCTCCCTGTCAGACTACTGAGGGAGCAAATATGTTGACTGTCCACATTTTTGCTCCCTCCGAGATCCCTACTGCGAGAGCAAATATGTCGACTGTCTGTGGGGAAACACTGGTTGGGGAACCGGATTGGCAAACACTGCTCTATCCGTCCGTCTAGCCATGCATGAAGGTAGTTACATGCTCGCATGCGGAAATTATCAAGCATGCTCCTCCTCCACACCAAAAAAATGCCCATTCCTATTTGTGCAAAGACCAGCTCTGCGATCAGGTTTGAAATGTCCTGTAGGATTTGCTTGTTAGCTAGCTCACTAAACAGATTGGGGCTCTCTGTTTACTGCCCTCAGGAGAACATGGCTGGTTGCCCCGCCCCCCCCCCCCCTTTCTTCACAGCAAGTTTTTCCACTGTGCTTTTATTTCCTTCTCTCCTCCCATTACATCATTTGTGGTCTTACTGATCGGTCTCGCTCCTTCCCCACAGTTGCGTGCCTCCTCCTCTGGTTCTGCCTAACATCCATCACCTCCTTCCCCAGCACCACTGCGCTCCCCCAGCCTTAAAACTGACCTTGTGAAGAAATTACAGGGACATGCCACAACTGTCTCCAGGGCTACTGGTTTCGTTCAGTGGGGTGACATACCTGCAAACCAATTTCCTGCGTTTATAAACGAAACTGAAAACGCTGTTAAGTCCCACCACACAATTCCTTCCTAGTTTTTTAGCTTTCAGCTTATTTCACATATTGGGACCTAGGTTTCTCTTATCTTCATGCAAGTATGGGGTTGTCATCCGTATAAGGACTCTACAAAATTTGTGGCTTATTTTAATGTCTTGTGTTGCACCTACAGGCTACTGGGAATTAGTTTCAGGCCAGTAGTTTTAACGGACAGGTGACCCACCAAATTGCTGCCAGGATTTAGTGCCTAGCGACGCAAATTCAGACGCTCTGCTTCGGCCTTGGGCGTCAGCAGCTTTATAAGGGGCCCCAGATGTGCGGGACGGACAGATTCATTGCACCCCTGAGACTGTGATTTACCGTATTATTCCGTAGAGTAGCTGACTAACACGGCCAAGTGACGTCAAGCCACATTCAGAGGCTGACGACTGCCATTACGCATGTGCACATGTACGCACCAGGTTATTATTCTAACAGAAAACTAAACCTATAAGAGAACATTTTCAGTAACTGAAATAAGATATATAAATAAAATAAAAAAAAAAAACAATTAAGCATAAACTATACATTTTGCTTCTAGAACTAACTGAAATAAAAACAAATCAGTGTTAATATTTGGTACAGAAGCCTTTGTTTGCAATTACAGAGGTCAGTCGTTTCCTGTAGTTCTTGACCAGGTTTGCACACACTGCAACAGGGATTATGGGCCACTCCTCCACACAGATCTCCTCTAGATCTATCAGGTTTCGGGGCTGTCGCTGAGAAACACGGAGTTTCAGCTCCCTCCAGACCTAAATCCAATAGAAAATCTTTGGAGACTGGCTAGGCTACTCCAGAACCTTGATACGCTTCTTACGGAGCCACTCCTTGGTTATCCTGGCTGTGTGCTTTGGGTCATTGTGTCAATGTCAATTTCAGGCCCCTCCATGATTTCTAAGTGGGAGAACTTGCAAAATCGCAGGGTGTTCAAATACTTATGTTCCTCACTGTGTATATATATATATATATACACACGCGCACACACACACACACACATGTTTTTTAAGGGATGGAACCATAGATAATCCTGTTGCCAATCCTGTATTTGAGAGAGAGATTTTGTGTCCTTTTTTCTTAATTCACCCTCACAAGAAGGCATGAGGGTGTGGGTGAGGCACATCCAGACAGTGGCCTTTTTTTTGCAGAATTAATAATGTGACTCAATATTTCCCCGCAGTCGAGAGCCACTTGGCCTCCAACGTGCACAGGAGCCGGCTGATGCAACAGGACCTGCGGGTTGCCAGGCGTCTGCAGCAGGAGGAGAACCTGCGGGCCAGCATCCGAAGGCAGCAGGTCCACAAGGCCGTGTAGGTCGCGACCCACCCCGGAAACGGGGAGCGAAGCAGGCTTGTGGCTGGTCGGGTCCCCCACGACAAGATAGGATGACGTGGAATACGTTGGATCACTAACAATAGACACATGTGAAACCCTACCTTTAATGGAACGCTACCATAACTACATTCCTATTGAGGTGTAGATTCACTTATACCAGAATCCACTGAGCTTTGTTAATCCTTCTCAGATGCAGCAATGTGTTTTTGTTCTCTGTGGAGGACATTGTGTTTTTACTCATATCTCTCATACTGCACATGCCACTCTAAGTCCTGTTATTCCTATGACATCACACGCATGGGGTGTGCTTACCATCCCAGCACAAAAGTAAAAAAGTATAAATTCAGGAGGTTAACAGGGGGGGGGGGGTTAGCACTGCTAGGTCTGGTTTTAAAGCATGCCTTTGCCTCTTGTGTGTTTCTCTGTTGACAGGGATGTGCATACCTACTGCACAAGTACACATTCACCTTTAAAAGTGATATGTGTGGGAATTGATTGTTGTAACAGTGCAAATGCATTATTTTATGTGCGTTTGGTCTGATATGACAAGAATTTACCGTGCATTTTAAACTTTATATGCTAAACCGTACTTCAGTTGCGGTGTAAATGTTAGAATGCACGGTAATTTCATCATGTCAGCACAAATGCACATAAAATACATACGCATTTGCTCTGTTACAACAATCGATTGCCGCATGTATAGCATTTAAAGATGGATGCGTGCTTGCATCTCTGTCTATTGACATGAAATGTAATTGTATCATAATGATGGCTTTTTCTCACATTGTTTTTCCATAAGAATTGAGGGAGTAGAAGTGTGCTTGACGTGCTTCTCTGGATTACATGTTTATCAAGCTTTGCATTGATAGGCAGGGCAAAATGTTCTGGCGTCGGTGACCTTCACATTGGTTGTTTTGGGTGTTTTAAGGAGATCTGGCAGAGTGGCATTGGTTGGGATGATGGGGTGGGTGGGTTTATCAGTAATGTCTGCAGCCTTGTGAGGTTTTTGGCCTTGGGGCCCTTCTGTGTTTTCAATTGGGAGGGTAAAGATTAAGAACCCAACGGCGCTTCGGAATGGTCCGAAATCCTGTTGATTGTCAAGACGTTCATTTTCGTGCGTCATGTGGTTCGCCACGATTTATTATAGAAGTCATGCTGGGTCACTGTCGGCTCTTCGATAAGATGCCCCATCTCTCCCCCGTCAGGGAGTGTCGTGACAGTGAAATGGCCATGGAGATTCAGGAGGAGCTGGTGAAGCAGGAGAGGCAGAATCGGCACCTGGAAGAGAAGGACGAGGTGAGAACCGTCGCCAATTATCTTCACTCAGGATCCACCCACAATGGAGGGAATTGCTTTTTGAATTTAACTTGTGTGTGTATTTGCTTCCCCAAGTATTCTCAGGAATGGATTGTTGAATTTAACTCTCAATGTCATTTCCTCCATTTCCATCTTCATAAACATTTAAGTTCCTCAGTCACAACAGGTTCCTCAGATCCCGAAACTCTTTTACTTATTTGAATTTATTTGTAAGTGTTTGGCATGCTTCAGTATCAAGGATGGATCTTTTAAGTTTCTGGGGATCACAAGACCTCTCAGCAGCCAAAACCTTTAGGGTCAGCCGTTTTTGGTGCTTTGTTTGAAGTTCCTGTTTCTGTTGATATCCGAGCTTTTACTGTGGAAGCCTGTGTTGACGTTGTGGAAGCCTGTGTTGACGTTGTGGAAGCCTGTGTTGACGTTGTGTCATCCGTTTTCACACAGGCCTTTGCTCGTAAGCTCCAGGAAAAGGAGATGAAGGAGCAGCGGAGGAGGAAGAAACAGAAGGAGCCTATGATTGAGGAGGAGTACTATGAGGACCAAGGTGGAAGCACCCTATGCTCTGATGTTTCTGTCCAATGTTAGCATTGAGCATATAGCATTAGTCATAGGGATACCCCAGCACTTAAGTCTGCTATATACATACATCCTCTGTTAGCCAGTCTCATTATTTTTAGCATCCAGATTTTTATTTGAGAACTTAGTGGTTGGAGGTGATACTAGGTGTATGCATTACTGGTTTTCCTGGTTGTCTGCCCAAACTGGTGTGGTTTGATTGTCAGACCTCACACCAGCAGCTCAGGTATTGCCTTGTCAGGTTATTGATGCAGCAGAAGCCATGTTGGCAGTTAACTGGCCACAGCTGCCTCTGTGCCTATACTTTCGACTTATGTATCTGTAGTCCTGAGTATAATATGCTGTGGGCAATATAAAAATCTGTTAGGTGTAAGTAAGGGGATGTGATACTAGAGGACAGGTTGTAGCTCCACACAGTGTGGAACTTGCCGGGGTGGTGTTATCCACTTGTGTGGGTGTGTCTGGGGCCTCTGTAATACAGGTCTGTCTGTCTGTTTGGTAGCATTTTTCTGTGTGTAATGTAGTCGCGTGACCAAAACCATAGTTCTTTGGCTGACTGTCATGGGATTCCAGCCCAAGCCGGTCCCGCCGGCCCTTTAGTTATTCAGCTCTGTCATCCTCGTAAGGCGTGTGTAACATTGCCATCCCCACCCAAGCAGCACCCTTTCCTCTCGTCGTTTTGACTTTTAACTGGCTGCTCTTCCAAGCTGCTGTCGTGACCCCCAAAAAGTACAACTTTGCAAACTTTGTCCCCATGAAGCCAGCTGGGATGGACATGGATCCGGCCAGTTCGGGTCCACGCTGCGGCAGCCGTCTCTGGACGCTGAGGCGGTATGGCAGAAGGAGAAGCCGTCACGGCCGCCGCCACCGCAGTGGGACAGGGGCAAGGAAGCGGGCAGGGTGGCCCACCTTGAATTACCACCTAATAAGGACCCCTTGATGATGTGGGATATGGATGAAGGAGCAGTTCCAAGCCGAGCATATGGGGAATGGGAGGGGCCTTCAGTCAGCCACAGCAGACAAACCCAAAGACAGCCGTCCAGGTACCAGCAATCAAATCCAGTGCAGGGGGGAAGAGGAGACCTCTGGGAGCCCCAGCTGGACCTTGCCCTGTCTGGTCCTACTTCTCCAGAGGCCAGGTTCCCAAACCTTCCCCCTCGAGATCCAGGTACAGTTTAGGCCCTGTGTGTTGGAGCTGTTGGGGCCTAAGGGTTTTCGCTCTGTTTGTCTGAAGCATCCTGGTGCACAAACTTTCTCCAGCCACTCAACAAATCAGCCAGACCCCCGAATCGAGCCACTGATCACAAAAAAGTGCTGCCAGCGATTGTCTCCGCACCAGTTCTTTGAAAATACTGAGTCAGATGTGTTGGGCTTTCTTTGATCAGGAAGCATGTATACGCTTTTCTGCTTCTTTTGATTTCATTTGTGTGTGAATCCATTGTGGGGGTGGTCTTAAAGCCTTTGACCATTTTCTAACATGCAACCAGTCCTTGAGAGCCTCAGGTGTCAGAATCAATTGTAAACTAACAGATAATGAAATCCCAGGTGATGTAAATTACTATACAGAAAACTAGACCATTGTGGCATGAAATTAAGCAAAGACCAGCACACCCTTTGGCTTTCAAGAACTGGAGTTGGCCAACACCTAATTTTTTGTGAACATACTGAAAACCTCAATTACTTGGTTATGGTACCACCTGCAGACAGGAATGAGCAAGCACATTATGACATCATGGAGGTGACCCAGGGCTTGGACGACCTAGATGTTCAAGAGGTCCGAGACATGGAGGTGGCCAGAAGGATACAGGAAGAGGAACTAATGGTGAGGGTAAGAAAATAATCCGTTAGCATTTACACCGATGAGCTGAAACGGTATGATCACTCCCACGTGATGTAAATAATGTTGACGGTCTTGTAAAAGCGGCACACATCAAGGTCTGGAATATATTAGATGGTAAGCCAATATTTGGGATTTGTTGCGGTAGGGGTAAAGACCTGAGTCACTTTGATAAGGGTCAAGTTGATATGGCCAGATGACTGGGTCAGAACATCTCTGAAGCAGCAAAGCTTGTGTCGAGCTCACGGTCAGCCATGATGAGTCCCAACTGAGAATGGGGAGGGGGGAAAAAAAGCCATAACCCACCAATGGAGTGTTGAGCTGGTGACTCGTCGATGCAAGATGTGGACTTGGGCTGTCCCGTCTAGTATAAAACAACAGAAGGGCTACTGTGGCACAAATTGCAGATCATTTTAATGATGGGAGAAATGTGTCACGACACACAGCTGCTAACAGGGCTACATAGCTGCGATTGGGCTTCTTGGTCCAACACCTATTGGGCCATCCACATGAAGCAATATAACTTGGGATTGATTGGACCAAGTGACCACCTTCTATTGCTCCAAGGTCCACTTCCAACCCTTGTGTGCTCATCGTTATTGATGGTGGACAAGGGTCAGCCCGGGCAGTCTGATTGGCCTGTAGCTTCCTAACCCTTTACCCCTACCCCATTCCCTCCGCACTGAAAACGTCAACTACGAGTAGCGAATGTTAGCTTGCCATCAATATATGCCAGACCTTGACATGCATCGTTTTTACTATATAGTCAGCATTATTCTCTTCACATGGGGGTGGTCATAATATTTTGGCTCATCGATGTATCTGTCAAAGGACATATTTCGAAGAAAAAAAAAATATATATATTCTTTTTTTTTTCCAGGCAAGTCGAGCCGATAAACAAGCAGCTCAGGTGGCACAGGATGAGGTGGGGATGACCTGATTCCTTCTATGCCCCTTTCCACATACATGAGTCTAACATAAATCAGTTGGATGATTTTAAGGCTAATAACGGCGTATGCAAACTGAAATGTTGTAATTACAGCCAAATCTAATGTGTGTCAGCCTTGCAGTGACTTTGGTTGGTTGATTATGTCCATGTCATGTCACAGATTTAATTTAAATTTCTCCAATAATGCTTATTCAATGTTATACAGCAGAAGTGGCCAATCTTATCCGCAAAGGGCCGGTGTGTGTGCGGGTTTTCACTGCAACTCTCTAATTAGATTACTAATTAGAGGCCTGATTGGCTGAAGAGTCCTCACACCTGGGTTTGAACAGCTGACCTACAGGTTATCCCAGAAACCTGCATACACACCGGCCCTTTGCGGATACGATTGGCCGCCCCTGTTCTACAGTAATGTGTAGGTGCAAAGCCAGGTGTAGAATATGTAAGGTGCAAATGCTCACTGGGAAGTTTGCTACCTGAACAGAGCAAACATGTTATTGAAAAATGTATCTGAGGATGGTAGACTGCGAAGACGGGAGACGTGCAGAACCTGTTTTGGCAGCAGTGTCATTTAGTGTTTTGTCACCTGCTGTTTTTATTTGACTTGGCAGGAAATCGCTTGGTTAATAATGGAGGAAGAAGAGGAGAAATACAAGAAGTGCAAGAATCGGGATAAAAGACTCTCAAAGAAAGACAGGAAGGTAGTGCGTTTGTTTGAGTCAGACGACATTATTATTTATTTCGTCTAATTTGTCGTTTTTGGCTGCTGATGTTTAGCGTTGTCAAATATTGATAAATGGCTGTACTCTGAATAAACGGCCCGAGTACACGAAGCTGGTGTTAAAACGACGACTGCGGAGTTCTGTGACCTGTCATAGGCTCCGCTGTTCAGCAAGGGTGGTCCTGGCCGTAGAGACTGTGTGTCTTCATGGTGTGTGTGGGGTGTGTTGTAGCTGCAACAGGAGGATTGGACGCCCTTGCTGCAGGAGGAATCTGAACACCTGAAATCACAGAAACAGAGGCCTGAGAGGTACTGTAACCCCAGTGGTTGGATAAGGAGGGGCTCAGGCATTAAAAAACATTGGGTTGATTATTTAGATAGTGGAAGAATTTTAACGAAAATCTATTCACTTAACATGCATGATCCTCAATGGATGGAAATGTGCGTGTTTGTTCATATATGTAGGCATGGACTGGCGATCGGGAAGTTCAGTAAATTTTGTGAGAGCCGGTCTTTCTTCCCCAGCTCCGGAATTGTATAGCCTTTATACCAGAGGGTGCCCAACACGTCGATCACGACTGACCTCGGCCGGTGCCAAAATAAACCAAAGGAGTCGCTTGACTGCAAATTCCTGGGCTGCTTTTTGTTGCGAGTCCACCTCTGTGTATTTGTGTGTACTAAGGATGTCACAATACCAGAAGTTTAGTACTTGATACAAATACCAGTGAATTTCCATGATTCTAGATACTAATTGAATACAAACAAAACAAAACAATAAATCCCATGTACTTAGGCATACACTTATTTATTAAAGTCAGCTGAATATGGCAAAAAACAACAGTGGCATGTAGCCTTCAAGTAGGCTTGATAAATATGAAGAAATGACTATTGAGATAATATACAGAAAATGCGGCACTCACCCGAAAATGCTGTCTAAAAATAGAATACTGGGTCAGAAATGGAAGGCAGAAGAAATGACATTAATTAAACACAGATAAGGCATTTATTTACGCATTTATTTACAGTTGTAAAATTCAATTTAAATTTAAAGGCCTTGTAAAATCAAAGGCAACAAAGTGGCAATTGTGTCTCCAATTGCAACTAACTTAAGGAAATGTAGGTCAGTAACTTAGAAGATATGTTGTCGGACAAGTCACTAGAAACAAATTTTTTTAGTTACAAAACAAACCGCAAAATCATTTATGGCAGCACAAAAACTTAAGTTGGTTATTACTTTGTGACTGTCAGGATTTGAACCGGACCGTATTTATAAACGAAGTGCAAGTGCTTCAAGAGTAATAAACATTTTATTTTTAAGGTAGGTTCTTTCTTGTATCATTTTAAATGGGGGTGGGGGCTTCAGAGAGGGCTGTTCCTGTCAGGTCCAGAACAATCACATCCCTGGTACCTATGGGCTATGGTACTGGAGAGAAAAGGGTACCATCATGTTTTCAGAATTTTGGCATTGTCTTGGTATCAGAATCAGTCCCGTGTTGGTTCTGGTGACATCCATAGTGTACACACACACATATACACACACGAACGGACACACACACACATTTCCCCTACGCTGTGTATAGTACCCTTTGCTTTTCTTCCTTTGCATGTTGTAATAAAATATGCATTCAGCCGCATATTCTCTCCATCTTTCCATCAGACCACCTGCTCCTGTACTCAACTGCGACTACGTGGAGTCCATCTCCTACCCCAGGCCCACATTCTCCTCCCAGGCACCTGCCAGGCCTCAATCTCGACCTTCATTTAAAGGTGACCACCTCCAACTTACCCAGCATGCTACACTACAGTTTAGAGCAGTGATTCCCAATCTGGTCCTCAGGGAACCACAGCCAGTCCATGTTTTTGCTCCCTCCAAACTCCTTGCCAGACTGTCCATATATGGCAGAGAGCTTGGAGGGAGCAAAAACATGGACCAGCTGTGGGTCCCGAGGACTGGATTGGGAAACACCGGTTTAGAGAAACTCAAGGCTTACGGCCAAGTAAATGACACACCATTTTCAGCCTCATTGTATTTGCCACCCACATTGAGTAAATTCCAGTAGGTCGTTACTTTTACTATGGTTCTTAATAATTTACTGTAAATTTAGGGTGTCTGTATTCTGCAGTTCGGTCACATACTGAGAATTCATTGTATCTTACCGTTTAAAAATCCACATGATGGATATAACTCTTGAATCAATAAATTAATTTTTTTTCTGACAGGTCTCTTTAAGAGGCAGTGACCCTGGATAACTGCGTTTTTTTTCGTTCCTTTTTCTTTTAATTGAGTTGGTGGCATGTTCATTTTTTCTGTTTGTTTATTTTTTGCCCTTTGTCAAATGACAGTGGAACTCCCCCAAGAAGCTCTGATTTCCAAAGATCTCAGATGATGGCAGTGTGGTGGATCCCGACGGCATCAGAAGACAACAGCAGCTCATAAGATTCTGGGGGAAAAGCGCTTTTTGGTGCTGGTCTGCGGTAAAATGCCTGCATGCCTAAATGAAGTTTTATGGGTGATTTTTTTTTATTTTTTTTTAATTCTTCTTCTACCCTTGGTCTCCATTTGAGGAAGTACAGCACAGCGGACCTCTATGTGATTAATTTCCTCAGGACTAATTGGGTGCTTTCTCCACTCCAAAGGACAATACAATAAACAAGTTTATAGATGTGTAAACATGCTGTGGTACTTTGGATGACAATGTGGACTTATGGTTAGAGAGAATCTGAAGATCTAACATGTCCCTGGTAGTCATCAGATATAACACAGTATTCCGGAAAAGAACTGTGTCTCACACGAAAGAATTTAACTGTTGGCTTGCACATTAACCCCCCCCGACAGTACTGTGACATGTGATTTCATGTGACCTTTGACAAGACATCCCAGAATATCAGGATCTGGAATGGATTCCGGCTGTAAAGATGCGAATGTGTATCTCTCAATTTTATACCTAAAAAGGGATCGAAGCCTCAGTCTTTTGTATAGTTTTTTTTTTTCCGTGATGGTCAAATTTACTGTGTATTTAAAATAGCTCTGACTATGCATTTGCTGCCGTGCTTTTTTATAAACTACTGTACATCCTTTACTTGGGACTAGTTAAAGTGATCAAGTTTAAGCAAGTCTATGGGACCAAGTACAGACACGCTCTCAGATTAAACTCCTTTTCAACTTTTCATTTTGTTGTTGTACGTATTGAGTGACATCATTTTGCATTGGCAATCAGTGATCTATGTTTTCACTTTGTAAGTAGACGTCCTTGGATTTACTGCCTTATGTGAGACACAGGATTGGACAGACCTTGTGCCATTTCTTTTGATTTACTGTGGATATTAACTGTAAACTTTATGCCACAGTCATAATTTGGTTTACAGTGGTCACCAGCACAGTTAATCTTTTGTATACTTTGTTATAACCTTCAGTGAAAAGATACAATATGATGAATACACCACCTAGTGGACATAATTAAAACTAAAAACAAAAAAAAAGTTATTCCCAACAAATACATATTTTTGTGTGATGTTTTATTTGGCCTTGACTAAACTAGACTAAACAAGGATGTGTCTGTAGCTTTTCAGCAGGGCATAGGGAAAGTATTGGCTTTCAGAATTTTCACATCTAGACAGAGTGCAGTCTATTGTGCTTGATACTCGTGTATTTTGATATCCATGTTACTCAGAATTCCAGGGAATTTTTAAAACTGCTTGTCATGATTATGGGGCAGACTTCAAACATCTTTCAAATGAACAGTGCAAGCAATTTGGATACAGTAGAGTCCGATTCTCTGAATTGGTAAAATTCCTCTGATCATGAAACATCTTCAAATATGTTGATTCAGCTATGCTTATTCACCTGTCTGTGTGTTATTCCTGTTTAACATCAGTATTGTTTGAATGGCAGGGCTCAATTATAAATTAACATTTGTTGTAAAAAGGGTGAGTTTTTTTTTTACTAATTTTATTTTGTATGGAATCCATTTGCAGAGTCCCGTTTCAGCAGAAGTTTATTGAACAGCCAAACAATATAATGTAATACAGTTAAGACATGCACAGATACAAATTGAGGACAGTTCTTTATTCCCCTTTCTACCCCAGAAGACCCTCCCCAACAAGTTACTGTGAGAGTCATACAGAGGGCGACCTCCTGTAGTGTGGGCAGTCTGAGGCAGGGAGGAGGAAGGACAGGACACGACATGACAGGACAGATCACCTGACTACTGCCTTCAGTTACTTCCTTAGCACACTAGTGGCGCTGACTGAAACCCAAATGGTCACAATTTGCTGACAGCCTGTATTGAAATGATTGATCAAGAATATTGTGGCATCTCTACTACTTTTACTTACAATATATATGTGTTAAAAAAAATCTTATTTTGTTTACTGCTCCAATTTGAGGAAGTTTACTAGTTGATCTATTTAACATTACCTACAGAATGGCGATTTTTAACTTTGACAACTGTTGCCGCTTTGGTATTGAAGCAGTATCTTCCCGGTCGTGGGGGGGGGGGGGGGAAGCTCTCCCAGGCAATATGGAGCACAAGACTGGGATACACTCGAGATTGCAGTCCATTGCAGAGCGCACTCACACACACACACAATTCAGAAACACCAGCCAGCATGTCTGACTGTGAGTCTTTACACTATGGGATGGAAGGGAGTGCCTGAAACAAATCCATCTGACAACAGGAAGAACCTGCAAACCAACACAAACCCAGCAGCAGTGGGGGTTAAAGCCCACCGTGTTTCCTTCAGCCTTTTACAGTCTTTAACCAAATGTAACAAATTACATTCACAGTATTCATATCTGCTATAAATGTATATTAAACAAGATGGTGTTTCAACACTGATGACATCTTTTTAAACCTTTGCTGTCCTATGATGTACTACATGAAGTTGATCAATTAAAAGTTAATTTAAAAAAATCAGCCGCACTGACCTGAAAGCCTAATTTTGCAGTAAATTTGTGCTTGTGTTGAACCTTTAACTGGTGCCATCTTTTTTTATTGCCACAGATATTGAGATACCACTTCTGAATTTTTCATTCCATGTGTAGATTGGTTTTCCTTTAAGTGTCACACTAATATATTTAAAAGAACGTTGCTATTGAAGAACGATGTATATGAATGATTACTGTGGTACTTAAACAAGTTGGACATTATATTTTATGTTACTTAAATCATGGCAAATTTCGTCTCAAGATCATTGGGATTTCTTTGCGATTTCGCCCCTATCGAAATTCACTTCTGGCTAAGGGTCTGGTTTAATTAGTCATCAAATTCACAAGGCCTTTTACTAAGTCAATGAAGAGGTCTTCTTTAGGAGAAAAAAACAGTGGGCAAGTTATATTTTGTTTAAAGCGATCGTCGGAGCCTGCTTGAGGCAGAACGGCTGTACGGGTGAAGCCTGCTCAACAACATGCCAGAGATTTTGGTTTCAGCCAAGCCTATATGGAACTGGTGCGAGGAATGCGCCACCATTCTGCTGCCCTATCCCCGATAAACGCTACCAAATAAAGTGCTCAAGGAAAACCACTGGACGAGTTAAATTCAGGATAGCCGCGGTGTATCAGGATTTTACAGCCCCTGCTTAAATTTCAAGACATTTTAACAAGTACATGAAGCACAACGCCCATAGCGCAAAGGAGTGCATGTGCAGGGGGAAGCGCCACTAACACAAGTCGACGGATCCCGACGGGACTAAATTTAGGGCTTAACCAGTCTGCTGTAGGAAAACCCCGCTGTGGATCGGATAAGAGATCTGACAGTTTCGGAATGCTGTGCGTTTCCCCAGTAGTGTTCCGTCCGCAGAGGCCAGCGGCTTACACCACCAGAAACAATGACTGAAATTGTCGGGTAACATCTCAGGCAATGTTTCTAGCAGAGCCAGCGACTGTATCTATAGCGTATAAGGCGTGAGCATGACCTGGAATATAAAGTCACACGTTCATTTATTTCCTGAAGTTATTCTGCCACACTTCTAGGTCACAGGATTTATGTCTGTCACCCTCATTCGCTGTGTCGGATTTTCAAGTCCTCACAGTCTATATTGTTTTGGTCACACTGCTACAGTGTTACCAACATTGTGAACGTGATGCGTCAGCATAATAATTCATAATACGCAAGGTGGTGTCTCAATATAGTGGCGCTTTATTGAGATACGAGTGGGAGGAAATATGCATAAAATAATGGTAACATCTTACTCGCAGTTATGGTTCTTAGTCAAATGTGATAGTTGTATCTGTTCCTTGACCAGATTTTTTTTCCCATACGCTATTCTTTGAAACTGATACAAAAAAAATTTGAAAGGTTACCTGTGCAAGTCTACATCTGTAAAATAACATGTACCTAAATCTACCCACTACTTTTATAGGTAAGATTTTCAATTCATCAGGGCAACAATTTTTAAACAATACTGTGAAGAGGATATTGCTTTCTCGCCTAAAAATATTTTTTCCCTTAAATACGTCGATAAATATAAAATGTTTGTCTGTCTGACCCAATAGCTTACAAACTTGAAAATACAACGAATTACGTACAACCAAAATTACTTTAAACAAAATATCTGTTAATATAAAATTAATTTCACCAACTAAAAGTTAATTAAGCTTACCTGGGAACAAGAATGCAGATACCATCTTATTCCTTTACGTTGTCATTTCGTCTGGAAATGTAGGAACAATATACACACCCAGTTCGTGTTCGAACTGCCTATATATTAATTAAATTAGATGTAAGCCGCACACTTTGAAGGATCACGCTAAATTCTTATAAATTAGTAACCAGGTTGTTTTTACCTCCTCCAGCCGTGGGTCACAATTGCATTAACTAGCGCTTGAATCACCTTATTTACCTTTCTTTTTCTCACAGAAGCCCGGGGCAAATGTTCAAGAAAAACCGGTAAATGTTGTCATAGGAAACGCGCGCAATGCAAACTCCCAACGAAAACTTTTAACCGTCAGGATGAATGAATTTACAAATTGATTAGGCTAAATTAATTTACGTTTGGGACTGAACGTACGTTCATGTTTTTTTGTTTGTTTGTTTTTTTAAAAAAAAAAACGTTAAATATTGATTCTTCACACTTTTATACAAACAGAATTGTAGTGTCATTTATACTCTACGTGTTATAAAGACCAACTTTTCTATTGAGCAGTGAAGCTTTGGTATGAATCAAAGCGTTGAAGTACAATCATTAAGGATAAAAGTCATTTGTCGTTAAAATGGACACTGCATAAACTGCCACTGTGATTCCAGTGTATGTGGATAAAGAGCTGCCAACCATTGACTGTGTTATGGGGACATTAGATTATAAAATTTCTGAATGGAGTAAATCAGTGAAAACATTAATTCACCTGGTATGCCCTGATATACCCGCCACCCAATCAGTGCACTGCAATTTCAACCCCTCTCCATTGTCTTTTTTACAATGCCGGTCCAGCCCTGTTCTTACCCAGTCAGCCTTTTGGCCTTTTTGCCTACCTGCTAGATGGACAGCACTGTTGTAAAGAAATGTCCTTCTTTCAAAAGGGTTCCATTACTCTGGAACACCTGTGATCTCTACGTTAAATTTCATGTATGTTTCATGGTCCATCCAGGGTCAGCATTATGGCATTGGCCACCCTGCCCCCCCCGGTCCCCCACAGCCCAGTGTCCCATTTTGCTGCCCTGAATGCCACACACTAATGACATCATGTTTTATTATTATTATTTATTTTATCATTCTTTTAATAGAGGCATCCATACTGAAACAAGGACATCTTCCAGGGGCATGGCCACAGATGGTCTACCTGCCCAACATTTTGCCTTCCCTCTATCCCCCCTTTCTCAACTTTTACCCCACCCCCCATGAAAACCATGGGCCTGCCACTCAGATCTGTTCTGGGGCAGACACTGGGTCCCCCCAGGAGCACCCATCATATAAGCAGACTAGTTCAGGCACCAACGTTACAGGCTGTGCAGAAGCTCCTGCCTGACATTTTCCGTGTGGGTGTTGGTCGTGGGCGAGGTTGTACTGGTCTGTGATCAGGCCTGTACCAGTAAGTACAGTGGCACTAACTGACTCTGACAGGAAACAAAAGATACACATTTGATGACTTTTTGAATATTATACATCTAATAAATAGATATTCTATTTTCAATTATCTGACAATTTGCCTTAGACCCATTTATTTTTGGATTCGTTATTTAAAGTAAGTGTTACAAAAATCATTTCCTTCATACACACTCTTTCAAAATAAATTAAGAGTTTGTTTCAAAATAAAAGTTGTTACTATGAAGCAGAAGATCATTGTATCAGCTCTTGTAGAGAAAAACAAGGGGCACTGTAATTCCCTATCCTGGTACCACATGGTAACATTGTATCTAGTGTGATTTGTCTTTGGAAGACCAAGCTGTATGCTGCACTTTTCAGGGACTCATATCCATTTCTAAACTTCTGTTCTGCTTCAATGACAGAACGCATTACAGACACAGATTCCTCAGTTGTCCTGTGGTAGAGCCTTAAGTGAACAGCTTTTAGGTCACCTGGCGCCGTGCGACATGTGGTCTGGCCATTGTACCCCTGTTCCACACAAATACAGGGAGCTCATGATCACCATCCCTGTGCACATTTTTCTAATCACAATGTCTTTTAGCCCAACTTAAGAGCTTCTGCAGAACAGGTCTTGATATGAAGGGGGGCAGATAAGACTGAACTGCGCTCCCTGGGCTGCCCCCCCCCACACACACACACACACAAACAACATTAGCCTCTGCTGATGCCTTCAGAGGCATACAAGTTTGACAGCATGTCTTCTGAAGGGAGCTTTGGGCGCCGCACTGCAGGGCTGTAGCACAGAAACAGGTGGACACTCCCATCTTTCCCGTAAGAGAGACATGCGGTTTCAGCCTGGGGAGGTTCCCTTAGACAGGAATGACACCAGACACGTTTCTGCAG